TCATTAGACATTACTACGTGATTATTGATAAATTAAGCTTTTGCGAGAGAATAATAATAGAATTAAAAAGAAAATAATAGGAGAAGGATATAAAAGTTAAAAATTGACAGCGAAGTGGCAATGGCTAGAAACCCTACCATAGGAAATTTCTCTTCTTAACTTCCCCTGAATCTCAATATGATCCCCTGGCTGTATGTCTTCTAAACAATCAGAAACGTAACGAACGCATGGTGGGGTATCAACTTGGGGAGCTCTTAGGTTATCCCATTGGATGTTGCTCCCCATTAAGCGCCAACCATCATTTTGTTGTCTACAAAAAAGAATATATGCATTATATCACAAGATGTGCAAATTGACTCAGCAAACTAATAAAGTCACTCACTCGTGTTAATTTATTTTATTAAATTATCTTAATTATTTCTAAACAATTATAAAAAAATGAATTAAGATGTTAAATATTTTATTTTCATTTCTTCATCTCATTTTGACAAAATTAGTCTTGCTAAATATATATTTGTAAAGAGTGAAAAGCTAAGTCAACATATTGAGAAAACAAACTATAGTTTTTATTTTATTATTTGCGCGCGGGGGGGGGGGGGTGTGTAATTGAAATTAAATTCTCTACTAAAAACTGTGGACAGTCAAATTTAGGAAGCATTTAAAAAAAATTATCAAAAGTTTATGCAAATAATTTATATTTTTAATAAGTTCTTTTTAATTTATTTCACGTAAAATTCTTTTTATTTATTAAAACATTTTTAAAACTATTCCAATTAAATTTATGTCATAAATCTTTATCTGATATAAAATGAGTGTTGAATCAAATTATTTACTCAAGCACACCTTTAAACTCAAGAAACACTCAAGCACTTATCCAACCAGTTGCGCTATATTTATGTTGTGTTGAGAAAATAAAACTGTTTAAGCCATGGAATAGTCTTAGATAAAAATAAAATAAAAATAAAAAGCCAAGAACTAATATGCATAATCCGTAAATTAGGCACTAGCTTTAACCTCCTCCCTTACCTTGCTTGAAAGTTGTCGAATTTGGAATCGTATCTAACTAGGGCATCACGAACGAACACTCGCTGAAAGAAGAGATTAGTATGAAAGGATTTCATTTCATAATAAGAATTCTTTTAATGAAAAATATAATTCATAAGCTAATTAGAGGTTTACCTTGTAGATTTGAGCTGGAAACCAGAACTTGCCATTTTCTAGGGAGAAATACAAAGCCATCATAAAGTTATTTGAAAATGAGCTATTAAGATGCTTACTATCTTCTAAATATGACCTTAGGTATAACATGGGCCAAGTACCACATAAAGACCCCATTGATCCATTGTGATCGATATGTTGATTGAAGAGGTTTCCACCCTCTTTTGCTGTTGTAATATGCCACTGCCACTCCTTGTAAGTAACATCACCAATCACCCTACCCCATTTCTTCTTTATTAGATCTTCTCACAAAGGATCACTTCGACATTTATCCCTTAAACAAGTACACACTTGAGACATTCTAGTGAGTTCTATTGGTGAAAGGCGCTTTAGAATACAACCCAATATGGGTTCTGGCAAATTCAAGAGAGAAACATTACATCCGGGTTCAATATTGTCCATGTCAGGTCAGTTTCTTCAATATAGTTTGGTCAAAAAGGAGTGAGTATTCAATTCAGAACAAGGGTACTCGTGTGCTTCCCTTAGAGGTGTATATATAATCAGAGGAAAATAATTTTATTATTTAAATATCTAAAAGTTAACATCACATATTATATATATATATATATATACACACACATTAAAAATATATTTCAAAAGAAAAAAAGATAGTTCTTCCATTTTATTTTCAAAAGCGTTCTATGTGCTTGCTGTGTTTTCCAGTTGTATTATTATTTGTTGTCAATTGTCACTAAAGAGTGGACCTTTCCCTCTGAGGTACGTGATGATCTAGGAAAATATTATATAGATATCCTCTTGGATGTATATATTTAGAGAAAAGTGGGAAGAAAGGAAAAATTAATAAATATGCATAGATAATGTAATATGATAAAAATATATTAAAAGATTTCAAGTGTTATACCGTGTGTGTTTATAATTGGATGATTTATGTCTTCTGCATTTGTTTCTTTTTTCTTAGGCCGGGCCGGCTATTCCCTTGCCTAGCATGTATTTAATAGTTTTTTTGTTATTAAAAGTGAACAAACTAACTACTAGTGTTTAGTCTTAACTAATATAGGGAGAGAGAATGAGAGAGATTCAAGATTTACAGCTGAACACACAAAAGCTCCAACCATACATCCTCACAAACTTTGCATGCAATTTTAACAATGGGCTTTCAACATTGACAAAGTATAATTTAAAGAATTATATTTTTTGTCTCTTTAAACGATGGTTTCAACTCAAAACTCAAATAAAATATATTAATCAAAATTTGGCCACCAAATTAACTGAACTGCTTGTCCTTGTCTAACATTGGAGAGTACCAACATTATTTATATATATATATATATATATATATATATATATATATATATATATATGAAATAAGATCCATTAACACTAAAAAATTTACATCAAATTTTAACTGTATAAATCATTTAATGGTTAAAAAGTTATATTATTTAATCAAAACAGTAAAATATAAGTGCGTAAGTCTTTTAGACTTATACCTATTGTCAATAGATCTTATTCCTATATATATATATATTTACATCGGTGTAAGTTTAAAAATTATTACCCTTAATCTGAGTTTTTTATTTAATTTAAATCTAACGGCCAATAAAGTAATAAATTATAACTCATTAGATTTAAATTAAATGAAAGACTCAGATTAGGTGTAAGAGTTTTTAGACTTACACTGGTGTAAAAAGATGTTCTTCATATATATATATAATTTACAATCATCAATATAAATAATGATATATGGTAGGGATTATTTCAAAATTGATTTTCTATTTAGTGATTTGTTTATAATTTGTCTGTACATTCATTAACCAAATTGAAAAAATAAATTTTATACAAAAAAAAAAGTATATTTACCTTTCTTTTATATAAAAATAACGTTATAAAATTTAAAGGATAGAGATACTCTCCAATGGGTTTGCACGCCAATCTGAAAAATTAAGCACGAACATTCCTTGATGCTGAATGATCTCCAAGATCTAACTCTATTTTTCTGACTGAAATATTATTACGTTAATCTGATCTCTAGCCAAGTGATTTTTTCTCATTAAAATATTCTAATAACAATTGTTGATAAAAATACCATTTGAAGACCAATTTAATATTACTTATAAGATTTTGTAGACCCGAAAATGATATAATTTCATGGCTACTTTTAATTAGAGAAGAGTTGGGTGAACATAAAGAGTTATGTGAACCCAAAACCTGAACATCAGGACATTATTTTCATAAAAGTTGAAGAAACTATCAGAGTACATAACTTGTCACAAGTATCAAGTGGCTAGCAATAGTGGAGGTATTTAACATCATTTTTCTAGATTGGAAGCATAGTTCTATCCTATAAACATTTGTAATGCTAAAACGGCAGTTCTAATGGACCTATAAGACAATTAAAAGTTATCCATTCATGCATCCTACTCTATCAATTTTAAACTTGTTAATTTTCACCAAAGTGAGAAAGAAATTATTAGTATTAATATTAAGAAAAATCATACATTCAAACCCGCGTTTGGATGTCAGGAGTGTAGAAAGAAGAAAGATAAAAAGGGAAAGAAAATAAAAAATGCACTGGGTGCATGATGTGATAAAAGAACATATATATATATATATATATATATATATATATATATATATATATATATATATATATATAGGATAAAAAAATTAATGGAATTAAAAGAAATTAGATGTAAAAATAGATCGGTTGTAATATCAATATACCCGAGAGGATGATGATATCTGAATGGTGAAAACTTTGTTGTCCATCCATATAAATATATATTTTTATTTAATTCTCTAACTTTTACCTTTTTTATTTTATTTTTATCATTTTTAAAAGTTTCAATTTGAGCTTTTAACTTTTAGAGAGATTTTAAATATAAATATTGTTAAGATTATACTGTCTGATTTAAGTCTCATGTAATAATTTTTAGTGAATAAAATATTTATTTAATGGGGTGATAGACATAGGTAAAATTGCACCGATAAAATTTTGTGTGTTACCTTTTTTATTTTCCTTCTTCCGTTTCCAACAGACTTTTTTTATTAAAAATTACAGCTTATCTTCTTTCTTCCTCTTTTACGTTTTCCTTTTATTCTTCACTTCTCTTTTTCTTCTATCTTTTCTTCTTCCTCCCAAAAAACAATCGTCACCTTCGGGAATCTTTCGTTTTGTCGAACACACTTTAAAGCATGTCCTTCGATTTGACTTGACCATGCACCAAAGAGATAGACCCTGAACTGCATCCCCAAATCTCTCTCATGAAACCCAAAGTTAACGTTTTTTAATGAAAAAAAATGTTTATAACTTTTTTAAAAGTAAGATGACCAAATTAACACTTACGAAAATTAAGAGAGTAGGGGAAAAAAAGTATACAAGTTAGAGGATGAAAGATATAATTTTGTCCTTTCTTTTCTAACGGGGAAATTAGCTTATGCAAGAGTGTTTAAATAATCCTCATCACGGTAACTGAAACTATATTTAAAATTGGAATAAAAATGGCATGCTCCAGTTATTCTTATCCTCTAGAGGGTGGACTTGCTTCGTGAAAAACAGAAATAAAAAGGAGAATATAAGAAGCAGATAGCAAATAGCTTGAGCTCTAGTTTGCATATGGGAAATATAACAATGTAAGGGTAAAAGTTTAAACATGTCTAGCATCACCAGCAAATATTATACTAGCTAGCAATTATAAATCCACGTACCAAATCTAATAATAATAATAATATCTGGTCTACAGTTTAAATATATATGTGAGACTAAGTATACAAAGTAAAAGCATGTTGAAGGCTGAGTACACAAAGTTGTGCTTTGTGAATCAATGATTTGAATAGAGATTCTTCCATCTTTGAATCTCATCCTCATCGTGAAGCTTTCTAATTCTTCCATAGAGTCCGACCAGATTGTTACCTAGTTCCCTGTTATTATTTCTGAGTAGCTTTACTCGTCTCATGTTTGACTCTTCAGGGTATTGTCTGAACTCTACGATCAGCGTCTCTATATATCATCAAAGCAAATTAAAGCATACAATTATAAAAATATCATCTAAAAGTTCAATAAGAAAACTAATTGTTGATATAATTAGGAAAGGGAGCTAGTGTGTGTGTGTGTATACTTTGATTTGAAAAACACTAGGATAGGAAACAAGTATAGGTGTAATCATTTGCAATTTTTACGATCAAAATGTCGATCTGAATGAGAATGACATATTTGAACCATAAAAGGATACATAGAAAGGTTGGTTTAATGTAAAGATCACTCAAAAACGTAGTAGAATATCTTGTGTTAGTTTCCAAGTGACTGGAAATGCAACTCAAGTATTTGTGTACTATATTATAATGTCGAATTTACATTCTACTTTTTATTGTTCCATGGGCTTCTTGTTCTGTTTTGTTTTGTGCAATTATCTGAGTATATTTCTGGGAGATCCAGAAACAGCAACGTAAATTTCATGGCTAAAGTTATAGTTTTAACAATTCAAGTGAATAATAATCTTTTTGGAATGATCAAATTAAGTAATCAGCATAACATAACAATGTGACTAAATACGAGACAAAACAACCTAGTTATGCAAAAAATAATTCTCACCAGAATTATGACAACGGCAGTAATTCTCATTTTCATTGCACAAGTCCAAGTGACCAATAACAGCATACCACCATTCTGCAAACCAAATTAGACAATATGTAATATTTAATTATTCATTGTTCTGTGAAATTTGAGGTAAGGTTATAAAAATTACAGATTAGAAAAGTTGACATGCAGAGTCAAAGAAAACCCATCCATGAAATATGATCCTATGGTTGTTTTCAACTTAAATTTGGTAGAAGAAGCGAAGGCTAGTTTAGTATATAGTTTTGATGAAAATTGAGGTCCTTTTGAAAGCTTAGAAACCTACCATAAGGAAGTTCATCGCTTGCTTTCCATTGGATCTCTATGTGATCCTCAGGCTTTAAGTCTTCTAAGCATTCAAACACGTGACCAACACATGAGGGAGATCTCAGCTCATCCCAGTGGATGTCGTTCCCTATAAGCCGCCAACAACCACTTTGTTGCCTGTAAGATGTTAAACATTTAATCAAACCAGGCACAAGACATGCTACCATACTCAAATTAATTCACCAAACTAATTAACAAAATCTGTAGTGTTATTATTAAATTTAACATGTTAAATCGGAAGAGAAATGATATTTATAAGACAAGTATTTACAACAATTCAAACACAAGTGAAATATGAAGAAAAAACTCTGAAATAAGATTTATGATGAGATAGGGAAAAAAGTTAATGTAAAAAAATTATTAAAAAAACATTTTGTGAATGACTTTATTCAAACTGTATTACTACTTTTATTCTTATTTATTTGTTCAGATAAAATACACAAACCAAATAATTTAATTATAATTAATTGACAATTTATAATATACCCTTTATGAAGAGGTCTTTCTTTAACTTTGAGGATACTCAACGAGTGAAATATTCTATTTATTATATTTAAAATTGCTATATAAGAAAAATAAATATTAATATAAATATAATAATTAATATTGTCTTAAATTTCTACACATACTGATGAATAAAAAACAAAATTTATCTTTTATCTAGACAAATAAATTTATTGGGAAATCAATTGTTCAACCAAACGAAAATCTTAATAATCTAGCTCCAAACTTAAAAAATTTCAAGATCTTCTTTGATATAGCAAGAGCACATAGTTGGGCAGATATATAACTGATAAGGAGTGCAGCAGAAATTTTTTTGGAGTGTCTTTCTCCCTTACCTTGCTTGAAAGGAGTCAGATTTGGGGTCATATCTAACCAAAGCGTCGCTTACTAGTAATCCCTGAAAGAAGAAAGGAAGTAAAACGGAATTCATTTAAAATCTTTCTTAATTAAAATTATAACACTTAATAAAAGATGAAATTAGCTAATTAAAACCTTTACCCGGTACAGTTGAGCTGGAAACCAAAACTTGCCACTCTCCAGAGAGAAATACAAAGACATCATGAAGTTATTTGACATTGAGCCATAGAGATGCTTGCAATCTTCTAAATATGATCCAAGGCATAGCATAGGCCAAGAACCACTGAAAGACCCTAGTGAGCCATTCTGATTAATCTCTTGATTCAATTGGTTTCCTTTCTCCCTTGCTATTGTGATGTGCCATTGCCATTCCTTGTAAGTAGCATCACCAATGACTCTACCCCATTTCCGTTTTATGTGGTTATCCCACAAAGGATCACTTCGACATTTATCCCTTAAACAAGTACACACTTGAGACATCCTAATGAGATCTATTGGTGAAAGGTGATTGAGAATGCAATCCAAAGTTGATTCAGGCAAATTCAAGAGAGAAATATTACCACCCTTTTTAGTATTCTCCATTTTGGGGGACGGTTTCTTTGAATGCTTATTGTCAAAGAAGTGTGAATATTTGATACAATTCTTGAAGTTATTTATATCCAATTCTTGTCCATTTCTCTGTTGGTCCCAATTATAGAATGAATTGTTAGAAAACAACATTCTAAATTTTATATATTAGTAGTAGTAGTAGCAGTATGCTAATATTCTATTATTTAATTAGAAGGACAAGGATGGCAACAGAAAATGGGGAAACCTATGGTTTATCTAGAAAGGATTAGAATTATATAAATGGAAGGAGTGATTATAAAGAAGAGATGGCCAATTTTTTGAATGGATAACCCTATTCCAAAAACATTGTTTAACAATAACTTTAATAATTTAAAAAGAAAGAGAACTTTTCAAATATTCAATTTTTTTATATCTTAGTTGTGACTCGTCTGCGTCCAAACACTGTACAAAGAACATTTATTGCTTCAAAAAAATAATTTGTTTTTTATATTGTTAAAATGTACACTAGCTTAAACGTTGAAGTATCTTTATAAATATTTTTTACTTTCTCTTATTAATAGTTCTAATCTTTCGATCTTCAATATAGTCTAAAGACAAATCCTTCAATTTATAAAGAAAAATAAGATATAAAATATGTTACAAGAACTTATTAGAAGAATATTATTAATTGTTATTTTTGAGAAAATGATAAAGAAACAATCATTTCGGTATATTGCGATGAAATTAACTAGGTACATTATTTCTTTTGTTCCCGCTGAAGACGAATGCCGTCCACAATTGCCTCGATGCTTAAGATTCATTCATTATGTGTCATATGTACGTCTTTGTTTCTCACGATACAGATTTAGCTAGCCAACTTTCTAGAGACAAAACATAAAGATAAAAATATGTTTGAAATTAATATATTAAATTTAGTATAGTCCGAAAAATTCCAAGTATTTTACTTTTTTATAAAATATAAATTAAAAATAACAAACACAAAAATTTACAATATTAGTTTTAAAAATTTTAGTCCAATAACCTTTATTGGAGTCAAATTTATTTTCATTTTTTTACTGTCTAGACCACAAATATTCTCTACTAGAGGCAATTCTCTTTGAATTTGAATGGGATAAGATTACTCTGCTCGACAAAGTTTTTTAGTATTTAACGTAGTTGCATTTAATATATTTATACTTAAGATTCTAAATTAAGTTGAAACACCTCTTTATCAATTGATTTTTTTTAATTTTAATTGTAAACATTTAATATTTTAATTATTCATATTAAGTTAATAATTCTAAAATCTCTCATCCAAATATTAATAAAAATATAATAAATATTATTTGATTTTAGTAAGAATAAAAATATATCAACTTTAATCATATATACGATGTATGTGTTGGGATTAAATGATATAAAATGTTAAGTTTAATAAAATAATATGTATTATACAAAACTTTATTTGCATAATTTTATGATAATATTTAAAAAATCAAAAAATAAACTTTTATTTTAATTAAAAATTATTAAATGTTATTTGATTTTATTTGACACAAAATGCTATTATGTCCTCATTATATAATCCTAATATAACGCTCAGCTTAAAATACAGTATGCCACACAAAGGCATAGCCGGTCCAGCATGACAGAAAAGAAACAAACGCAGAAAACATACATTATCTAATCTCGAATTTGTAAACACACACTCACATACAGTTGTAATCTATCTTTTATTTTATTTTTTTTATCATAACACACCATCTACTCTATTTGTTACTTTTCTTTCTTTTCTCTCTACCTGTAGAGGATATTTGTAGAATATTTTCCTAGATCATCACGTACGCAGGGGGAAAGATGTCTTTCTTTAGTGACAATTGACAACAAAACTAATACGAGGAGAAAACACATAAGCCCATATATATATAATAAAAGTAAAACTACTCATATACAATATCTATGATGATAATTTTTATATACAATAAAAGTAAAATTATCCATATCCCTAACTCCTAGAATTCACCTAAAACTATTCATATCAAAGAAAAAAAAAATGAATTATAGGAGTTTTTTTAAAATCTAAAAAAAATAATAATAAAAGAAGTACTCACATAAAAGAATGAGAGAAAAAATAAATACTAAAAGCGCCATGTGAAAGGAAAAAAAAAGTCTATGGAAAGGGAAGGGGACACCGATTAAGGGAGTTTTGCTGAGAAAAGTTTATGAGCTGAAGGAAAAAATGAAAAGGGGTTAATTGCCCAACCCCTAATTCTATAAACCTTGCCCCACTTTTTTTTTTTTTCTTTTAAACATTAACATCATAGATATTGTATATGGGTAGTTTTACTTTCTTTCTTCTTTTTTTTTTTATTATTATTATTATATACAAAATAAAATTTTAAAATTATATTTTATGCTTACGTGGCTCAAAGCCTATCCCCCAATCTAATAACCCGTTAACAAACAAGCTCTAAAAAGGATAAAGCAAAAATAGCCAATGACTTAACGCAATTAAGGATGTGTCATCAACATCTAACAACATTTTTGTCCCAAGATTTAAGTTTGTTGATATTGAATAGCCTTTGCCACCGTATAGCTAAAATTTTGTGTTTCTTCCCCCCTCATTCTTACATTCTATCATCTAAATGTCAATACGCTAGCTCTTTAAGCGCCTTTTCTAATCCCAATTTTCATTTTTTTCATAATATTTGCTTTTGATATTCTCCTCCTTATCTTTGTTTGTCTATTGCTAGCGATGGATCCAGCAGAACTTGCACGAGTTTTTCAAATGTTTGATCGAAATGGGGATGGTCGTATCACGAGAAAAGAGCTTAGTGACTCTCTAAAAAATCTTGGAATAACCATCTCGGAACAAGATTTGATTCAAATGATTGAGAAAATTGACGTAAATGGAGATGGGTATGTTGACATTGATGAGTTTGGTGAGTTATATCAAACGATAATGGATGAGAAAGATGAAGAGGAGGACATGAAGGAGGCATTTAATGTGTTTGATCAAAATGGAGATGGGTTCATCTCAGGAGAGGAATTGAGCGCAGTGTTATCTTCTTTGGGCCTAAAGCATGGGAAAACCTTAGAAGATTGCATAAGCATGATCAAGAAAGTGGACGTGGATGGTGATGGAATGGTTAATTACAAAGAATTTAAGCAAATGATGAAGGCTGGTGGGTTTGCTGCAGCTTCATTGAGTTGATGCATGGCTAGATGGTGTAAGTCTTTTTTTCTCTTTTATGCATAGACGGAATTTTACACAAAAAAAGAAGAAACAATGTGCCCGTTTGTAGAGTATTATGTATCATATCTTAATGAAAGGGGGAAATGGTTTCTTAGTTTATGAATATATTTGATGAGAATCTCTCAACTCTTTATAGGTTGATTGATTAATTCCTCAGTATATATCCTACTATCGTGATGGAAACTAACTTTTTTTGCTAATACCAAAAGTTTTTTCTTATTCTTTTTAGTGTGGTGATGTTTTTTATTACGACCATAGTATTAGAGAATCTTTCTTTACAAATCATGAATGAACTTTTAAGGGCTTTCAATTTTTCATTATGTACACATGAATTTTGCTGAATAGTTCTTCTACAATTTGGTAATATTGAGTGCTAAATGAAATTCAAAATGTAGAAGTCATTAGGTTTGCTTTATCTATCTCTTGAGGTGCTTTTGCATAGCATTTTGCTCAACGAAATACGAACTGTGACTCAAAATTGAGCTGGTTTGCCATGCTTTCTATTAATTAAACAATATTTTCATTCTTGTTAGATAATCAAGCCAGCAATTGATCAAAATAATGCAATATATCAAGATTTTAAAATTGTAAATGTTTTCTTAAATAACCTTAAGTTATTATTTCTTATTTATTTATATTTTTATATTGTAGAAGTAGTTGGTAATCAATTGCAACTATTAAAAAGTTTTAAAATCAGTTTGACATGTCTGCTAATTAATCAGTTATAATATCTATAAAGTTTTCTTGTTCTATAGATAAAGAAGCAATAATTAATCACTATGCTCCCCATTATATCAAAAACTCATTTAAAGATTGTTATAGGCTGTTTTTTTTATGTAAATTAAGGTTATTCTTTAACTAACAATTGCATGTTAATTTTTCCGAGATGGAAAATTATTAAAGTTGTGTGCTTGTTTCTCTCAACAATTATTTTTCCTATAATAGATAATAATGATGGAATAAATTTGTATTGATTACCAAGTTTCTAAAATATTATAATCCCTAGTTTTTGAAGTAAAATGGACATACATATTCAATGTAGTCATTCAAAAATATGAGTCAGCTTATTTAGTTGGTAAATCATTAGGTGATTTATTCAAATAGCTTGTAAAATTAGAACTTCAAGAACTAATCGAAAAGAAGATTAATCGATGCAAAAAGGTGATAAATTCAATGAAAATTAAATTATTAACAATTTAGAATTATTTATAAAGAAATTAAAAAAAAATAAATCCAAAAAAGCTGATGATGAAGATGTTGACATTTAATTTAGATGCACCGGCACCATACCAAATGCTTAATGCGACCACATTGACTGGAGGAGGCAGACATTATAAAAAGCATTGAAAGCTTATAGAATTCAATACTACATAGGCTTGGGCTAAATGTGTTAGGTTTTATTTGTTTCATAAAACAGATGAAGAAAACAAAAACAATAGAAGGTTAACAATGACCAAGTTATTACTAAACATAATTGAGGTATTACTAAGTTCGATAATACTAAATTTAAACTAGCCCTATCCATTATTTATATAATCATTGTCGGACTTTCATGATTAAGCTAAAGTTTATTAAGTAATATTTTGTTGAAAAATCATATTATTAAAATTTTGAACAAAATTATATAATTAATTAATAACTTCATTCCTTTAATCACCAGTTTAGAATTCTAAAAAGATTGATTTAATATTAATATTAATATATATATTTTTAGAAGGAGATAGTAAATTATACCTTTTAAAAACTCTAGAATTGTAATACTTCACTGTTAAATTGGAGGAACATCAAGTATATTTTAAAACAAGATAATTGCTATAAGAACTTCCTTTACCCGCTTGTTTTTCCAAAAGTATACTTATGCTCTATACAAAATGAAATAAAGAGAGCTAACACAAATACATATCATTTCTCTAAGCAACTGAATTAGAAGATAAAGCAACCATATAAAATAACTCCATGCATTTAATAAAAGATTAAAATGATCTTCTTGCTCTAGAGTTCAAATCTCAATGTTCTTCCATTTGAAGATTTATAAATGAGTGTTATTTATGAATAAGAAAGATAAAATGGTGTACTTACATTTAAGAGTAGTTCTAAAAAAACATTTTCACTGTTTTCAGTAATTTATCTCTTTTTGTAGTGTTGTAGTTTTTGCACTAATTTTATAGTTTAAAAAATGTTCTAGCTAGGTTATGATTGTTCTTCGTTATACATTTTCAAAATAACATTAAAGTTTCTCCTGCATAGTTTTTAACACCTTAGAGTATGAGTTTGAGAAGGCTTCTTGGGGGAAAAAAAATGTTAGATAAGAGCTTAGAGAAATTTATAGGAATAATACTCAAGAGTGAGAATTTTAATTATAATTTCAAACTGTGCACAGTAAAAAATATTGATTTTGTATTAGAAACTGGATATAACTCTCAAATATTTAGAGAGTAAACCAAGCTAAATTACTTGAATACTCTTTAATTCTTTATTTCTTATTTTTCTTCAACCATGGAACTGTCTTGTGAAATTTTAAAATATATATATACTTTAGTAATTAAAAAACTAGATTTGAAGAGAACTGCCTTTAAAAATAAATAAATAGTTATCTAAAAATCTGTTGACATTTGCTATGTAAAAAAGCTTTTGTTTTGCCAAAATATTATATTAGGATTATTAATTATTATATATAGAAGCGCGAAGAAATTGAAGGGTTTTAACTAGGGTTGAAGCGCTACCATCGCTGTGGCTTGACCTTCGTAACCATGTGGGCTCTTCGTCGAGCTTCGATCCCTCTCAGGTAACTCTCCTCCCTCTGAAACGTTCCTTATGCATATTTCTTTTGTTATGCGTTCCATTTGAAACGCAAATCCAGTTTCTCATTTTTTCTGTTATTTCAATCGAATTCGTTTGTTTTCTCTACATTATTTTCTTAATGGGAGAGTTTATTAGTTCATGCTTTAATATCAGTAAGAGTTCGAGGTGATAGTTGATTGTGCATTGTTTGCGTTAGGAACAGAGGGTTTAATGTAAGAGCTTCTTGTGTCAAATTAACGCGAACCAGTTGTGTGGAAGAAGAGACTGCTATCTACGAGTCTCCCAGAATAAAGAATGGTGAATTTTTTACCCCAAAGACATATTTCCATTCAGGAAATGCTTCACTGAAATTTACAGTTAGTAGACGGGAACTTTCTTCGAGTAGCACCAAAGAGGAGGATGATTTGGAGGATGGGTTTTCGGAGCTGGAGATGCCTGCCGCTGATGGAAGTGGAAAAGAAAATGATGATTTATTAACTAATGAAACTGACCTATCTGATGGCAGCGACAGTGACGATGTTGAGGAGCCGCACAATGAGATTGATGAATCTGCCAAGAAAAACCGACGACGCAGATGGGCTGAATCGGAACTATTCAAGGAGATCGTGAATGCTCCGGATTTTTCTGTTCACTCAGCTCTGGAAAAGTGGGTAAAAGAAGGGAAGGAACTAAACAGACAGGAAATCTCACTGGCCATGTTTAATCTTAGAAGGCGTAGATTGTTTGTGAAAGCTCTTCAGGTAATTGGATCAAATTTGTGTTTGCTTGTATATTATACATGTTAGCATATGAAATTTGAAATTAAGTAATTGACTGGTATTTTCATTACTCGTTTGTGGAAAATGGATATTTGAGGGCCTATGTGCATTGAAATTTTATTTTATTTTTGTTTTCATCTCTTGTTGTCACTCTTAATTACAAAAACGTTATCTGGTATTCACTTTGTTTTCTGTTATTAAATATTTGTGTTGAGAACAGTAAAAACAAACTGTTTCCTAGACAAACCTTTGAAAAATAGAAACAAAGTGAAAATAAGGTAGCATAATTGTAATTAAAACTTAAAAGTGAAAACTGAAAATAAAAACAGATAACATTTTCTTAAATTAAACAGGCCCTAAAATTTGCTGATCATTGTTCTTTCCGGTCATATCATTTTGCTGAAACTCTCAACCCAAGCAAAAGAATACTGCTGTTTATTGTCTAGTGCAATGCTTGTTTGATTGGCCATTCACTCCTCCTTTGTGCATAAATTGTTGCAACTTTCATATACCCTGCATACAATAGAAAAGAGGAGTACATAATATATTTAATAGTTGAGTATTTTAATAATTGCAATGCTGTTTTCATATAAAACACTATTCCATTACTCCTGTTTATACTAATAATAAAGGTTAAGTACATGTTTTCATCTAGTACGAGGCACAACCCTGGTCCAATTACTGTATGCTAACAGGATAATCTAACATGCTCAATGATTGTATTATAACGTAATAACAGTAATCAGGCACTCATCCTCAAGTTAAACCTGACTATATTCTTAGTTTGTGGCAATTAAAGTTATACATTGCCAAATTCAATTAAAGAACATAACAATCTACGCATAAAACAAAGGCAAATGGGTTAAATCGGAAGCAGGAGGGCCAATATGACCAAGATGTGGATCGAAAGGGGTTGAGGGGAAGGTCCAGAGTGCTGATTCAGTAAGCTCAGTGCAAACTGGTTGGAAGGTGATTTACACTTGCCTTACATGCCAGATGTGGAACAGGGTAGGTAGAGTTAGGCAGTGTGAAGGACAGAAGTAGAGGCTTCAAATATTAGATGATCAGCTTTTGTTAAAATATATGAAAATATCCAAAATATCTTGATCATATCATATGCTTTAGGATTAGTTTCCTATTTCCTTATCATCTCTTAGAATTGATTACCATGTTTGTTTCCTATTTAGTTTGGATTCTGGGTAGTATAAATAAGGGTTAGTGCTCTGGGTTTTATAAACACATCATCATCACATTGTAACACATCACATCATTTCATGTTAATATCAATTTGCTATTATTGTAATACATCACATCTCTCTACCATTGTCTACTGGTGACACTTGGATCTAAGTTACCCCATCAAGACTGACCAAACCCCAGTGGTTCTGAGTCAAACAAACATCAGACTCGCCCTTATGTGTAATTCTTTGTTCTGTATCTAGCTTTTCTGAGACATCTCCCCATTGTGTGTGATTACACGTGGAGCATCATTTTCAGAAGTTGTCACCTGCTCTGAATTAGCCTTGCTGTCCTCATCCCTGATCTGTTCTGTCATCACTTCATCAGTTTTGCAATTCATGCCTTCTACTTCTGCAGTTTAAGAGCTGTTTGGGGTTGTTTCTCTCTGGTTGACACTTGAGCTCCTCTACTTAAATTTGTCTTCTATCAAGTTGAACCATGCATTGGGCAATCACAGAAGCATCCTGGTCCTGTGACTTTCCCAGAGGCATCAGCTTGGCCACACAACTTCCCCTGACATGTCACCTGGCCACATGACATAACCAGAGGGATCGCACTCAACTGTCCTTTTGAATCATCTTGATCCTATCAATTTTTCCATCTCAAGTTATATTGTTTGGCCTTCTTTTTTCTAAAGCATATATTTGAAACAAGCTTGAAGGGGAAGGATTAGAATATATCAAAATATCTTGATCATATCATAGTCTATCTTAGATTATGCTATAGGATTAGTGTCCCTATTTCCTTATTATCTCTTAGAATTGGTTACTGTACTTATCTCATAATTTGTCTTCCATTTGTTAGGATTATGATTAGTGTAAATAAGAATTAGTACTTTAGGTATTATGAACACATCATCACATTGTAAGGCAGCACACTATTCTAGATAATCTTATTCAAAGTCTCTCTTTTGTCAATTTCCTCTTTCAATACCTAAAACATCATAATTTCAACAGTTTATAGTGGCCAAATTTTTCTCACAATGTGCAATCTGTGCTCCAATTTGATGCATTTGGTTGGAGCAGAACTCATTTTTTTAAGGATGTTCCTTATTTTCCATAAGATCAAGTATTTTCCATTTATCTGTTTTTTTATCTTGTTTAGGAGGACTCCTTGTTCTCCTTTATCTTTGTAATTTAATTATGTGCCAAAATAATTTTCTTGTTTTATCCCAATAAACAAATCCTAATAATAAAGTACAGGTATTGTGCAACTAGTACATGTTCAGCCCCATCTAACAATCCTTATGCAACAAGTCTCCTAATACAATAACTATAATATTCTAACATTCTTGGACATAACCAAATGTAAATTACTAACTGTTTTTAAGTATTTTGGTTTATGGGTGAAGTTTATCTATGTTAATGGTGAAAATGTTTGCTGAAGCAGACTGGGTATTCTTCAAACAAGAATTATGGGTACATGGTTCAAGTTTTAGCAATTAATTGCTTGATAAAAAAAATTCTGGTTCTATTCCTGCCTGATGATTGGTACTAACTGACTAAGATTGATGTTAAATAGGAATTATTTTGTAGCTTAACTTGGATTTTGAGCTTGTTTGGCCACTGGCCAGTCACCTAGTACTCTTTCAACTTTATTTTTGTGCCCATCTCTTTTCAGAACTGATACTGATTTTTAAGAAGAATCTTGTTGGGGCTCCTTTCCCTCTCAGCTGGTGCTGTTCTTTTCTATTTTTCTTCAACATAACATAATTTTCCATGGAATTGGAATGATACTCCCTTAATGTAGATTAAGCATTAACCTTTGCTGATTTTTATTGTTTATAATCTATTTCTTAGTATTTGGGGCTGCAGTGAAGGGAGGAAGATTCATGTCTTGCATATTGATCAGTTTCAAATAAAAGGGGATGGTTCTTATGTTAAAATGCAGACATATCCTTTGGTCATATTTTCATTAGTCATTTGATATAATTCTTGTCTCTTATTGACTATTTCTAGTAATGCATTGTGTTTTTTTTTACTGATCAGTAGTTAGCGCATGGTTTTGAGTTATGGTCCACAAGTGCAATTCCAGTCACAATATTGTGGTTTTGGAGGTCTTGGTAGTTTGTTATATTTACTATTTTGATTTTTTAGTTTTACAAAAGGACGTTTTTTAATGCAAATTTAAATAGTCATATTTCTTTTCTGGTTGGTTATGTAGCTCTCAGAGTGGCTCCAGTCAAAAAAGCAGTTTGAATTTATTGAAAGAGACTATGCATCTCGACTTGATCTAATTGCCAAAGTGCATGGCCTACAGAAGGCAGAGGCTTACATTGAGACTATTCCAGAATCTTGTAGAACAGAGATAATGTACCGAACTTTATTGGCTAACTCTGTTTTTCAGAAGAATACAAAGAAAGCAGAGGAAATTTTCAGTAAAATGAAGGATTTGGGTTTTCCTGTTACAGTATTTCCTTGCAATCAGCTGCTACTTCTGTATAAGAGGGTTGACATGAACAAAATAGCTGATTTGTTATTGTTCATGGAAAATGAGAATATCAAACCTTCTGCACTTACTTTTGAAATCTTAATAGACACGAAAGGCCAGTCAAAAGATATTGCTGGAATGGAGCAAATTGTTGAAAGAATGAAAGCTCAAGGCATTGAACCAAGCGTCAAAACACAGATCGTTGTGTTTAGGCATTACATCTCAGCTGGGCATCAAGATAAAGCTGAAACTTTATTGAAGGAGATGGAGGGTAAAAACTTGATACAGAATAGGTGGCTATGCCGAATTTTGCCTCCCTTCTATGCAAACCTAGGAAAGGAGGATGAAGTGAGAAGAATTTGGGAAGTCTGTGAGGCAAACCCACGGGTTGATGAGTGTGTTGCTGTAATTGAAGCTTGGGGAAAGTTGAATAAAATCAATGAAGCAGAGAAAGTTTTTGAGATAATGTTAAAGAAATCAAAGCTTTCTTCAAGGAACTGCTCTGTGCTACTGTATGTTTATGCAAATAATAAGATGCTAGTGAAGGGTAAGGATCTTATTAAGCGAATGGCAGAGAGTGGGCAGCGAATTGGCCCATTGACGTTGGATGCCATAGTGAAACTTTATGTCCAATCTGGGGAAGTGGAGAAGGCAGATTCTATTCTTCACAAGGCAGCCCAGCTGAACCCGGTAAGGCCATTATATTCTACCTTCCTAACTATGTTGGAACAGTATGCTAAGAGGGGTGACATACACAATTCGGAAAAGATTTTCGTTAGAATGAAACAAGCTAAATATCAACCTGGATCGAAGATATACCAAATCCTAATGCAGGCTTATATTAATGCAAAGCTTCCAGCCTATGGGATTAGGGACAGGATTAAAGCTGATAACATAAATCCCAACAAAGCTTTGGCTAGCCAGTTGGTTCAAGTTGATGGATTTAGGAAGAATCCAGTTTCCGATTTGCTTGATTGAGGAAGCTAACAGATCCTTTTGTATGGGTTGTTTCTTCTCATACGCATGCAACTATTATTTAGTCAAAGAGTAGGTCAAGCATCTTTAAACTTTTTCAGCATGTTTTGATAGCTCGTCTTTAACAAGATGAATCCTTGTTATTGCGTAATTTGTTCTTTCTCTTTACATTAAATCTCTCGTCGTTTGGTTGAAATGCCAACTCATGAAAAGATGCTTGATGATAGCTGTTGTGGTCTGTTACAGAAGGGTTCCGGAACTTGAAATTGATATTAGTGATCTAGAAATTGTGTTGAAGAAGCAGAATTGCCCCAGCATAACTATTATCGCTTTTTTAATGTGAAAATATCGTCCGCATTAATGTATTCAACCAGATATTTTTAATAAAAATTTATGTATAAAATCATATAGTATTCCTTTTCATTCGCTGGGTGGGTTTATTAAGGGTGGTTAACGGTACATCGCTCATTATCTTTGTAGGATCTTGAAGCACTGTTGCAACCAAATTCACAGAAAGTAACGTGCGTTGTGCACGCCGTACCAAGGCAATTAAGACATTGGTTCTTAGAGCATTATTAACCTAACTTTCTAAATCTGCTTATTTAATTAGCTTAGTTATGTTTTTACTCTATACTTTCACTTATAAGATTTTTTTTCCTTTATTTATTTATTTTTCAATTGTTTAGTATAATTTTTTACTTCAAAATATCATCTAATAATTAATAAAAATATTATTTAAGGTATGAAATTAATATTTTGGATCAATTAGTAAGGGAAAAAAGTGCAAATGTGAAAAAAAAAATAGTAAATAAGATATAATAAATAAATAAATAAAAATTTCAATTTGCTTAATTATTATATCTTTTTTATATATAAATTCTGTATACATCAATTATATATTGCATCATTGTTATATTTTTATTAATTGTTGAATAAATTTTGAGCCTTAATTTGAATAATTAAAAAAAATTATAAAGAGTAAATATGAATAACTAAAATTAAAGAAACTAAAGATATATAAATTGAAGTATTAGAATTAAAAATACAATTAAACCTTTTAAAATAAGGATCTGTACTGAGTGATAGCGATTAGAATGGGTTTGGTATTGAGGGCATGAATGGGGAGAAAACAAAGATAGTTGAATCTTAGTGTTGAGGACATGATTGTGGACAAAAGAGACATATGATTGGATATGGTGTTGAGGGCATGGAGAGAAGAAAACCACAGCGGAATTCCAAGATGAAAAAGGTTGCTTAGATTGTATAAAATAAAGAGATTATGGCTAATAATAAAAAGGTTTAATTGAACCTATGAGTTTAGGTGAAATTTTGATTTTTTTTTTCTCTAACTTTGTTTTTATTTAATTTAATTCTTTAAACTTTAAAGTGCTTCTAACGTGTTTTTTTAATTTTAGTCCTTTAAAAAATTTTAAGCTAAAGTTTTTCTTCTAGTTTTACTTTATTTTTCAATTTTTACTAACTCCAAGAATATTTTAATGTTTGATGTAAATACAGATTTATAATGAAAATTATAAATATATAAAATATTATTAATGATGATGAGTTAATTGTGGTAGTAAGATATTTACAATCAATAATAAAGAAAAATAAACAAGTAGTTGGTTAAAAAAAAATTTGAACACTTAAAAAGGTTTTGAATGGTAATTTAGAAGTTTTAGACAATGACTTAATAGCATAACGTGTAAGAAATGTAAATAAAATAAGATATTGCCCAAAATATTGTCATTTTAAAAATTTTAATTAAGTTACAAGATAGAACAAAGTTAAATAATTATTTTACCTTTAAAAGTTAAATTAAATAAAAAAAAAAAGCTGAAGGATTGAAGTAAAACTTTAATTAAACTTAAAAGACTAAATTGAATAAAAAAATTAAAGAACAAAATAAAAACTTCACTTAAAGGAATTTAACCAAATAAAAAAATATAAAATAAATAAATAAATGAATAAGCAACTGTTTAATGTTTAGGATGAAGATTTCTTAGAGGCTCCACCAATTTTGGATTTTGGTATCAGAGTAACTAATACTTCAATAATTTGAAATTATAAAATTAATCATTTGTAAAAATAAGCACCCCTATCTAAATAAATATAAATGATAAAAGCATAAACATATGTGTGAGGGTGCACGCATGTGAATTAGGATTCTAATCATTTGGAGTTAAGAAAAACAATGCAACGATCCAATTGTTATCGTGTTCATACAAGTGTAATTTTAAAAAATTATATTATAATATTTTGAACAGTAGATGATATTTGAAAAAAAAAAAAAGGCATTAAATATACAGGTTAAATCTTTAAAAAAAATAAACCAAATTCAATTTTTATAAAAAGTAACCTAATTTATTTCTACAGATGATATAAGTAAATTAGTAACATTAATACTCGTTAATATCACCTAAAAACTGTCCATATTGAAGTGTCTTTTATTGATATGAGTTAGAAATAGAGTGAGGATAAAGAATTGCCAAATAAATTGCATCCATATATCCATTACCATTATCCCCTTGAATTAGCTATCACTCTCATTCATGCAAAAGTGTGCATGTTTCTGTAAAAACTAGTAACTATCTCGTATAATATATGAATATATTTACAAAACTATAAATACTAAATTAAATATTATAATTCAATTGATAAATAATTATTTTAATAATAAACAATTTTATTATGCTGGTATTTAAATTTTTTAAACTTTAGAATCTTAAAAATTGCTCCAATTAATAAAAAAATTAATTCAATGATGATTTGCAAACTCTATATTATATTCAATGTTGACTGAAGAAGTTTAAGGGTTGATTACATTATGAGAAATGAAAATTTTCTTTTTTATGATAATTAATTAAGAAATAAATTCATATTGATTTGATTTAACAATTTATTTAAAATAAAAATAATAATATAAATTCTTATTTGTATTATCATCCAATTATAAATTATCACATATTTATTTTATAATAATTATTTCAAAGATTATATCTATAATAATTTAAATTAATTAATAATGTAAAATGTTCACATTACAATTAAACGCTTAATTAACGTAAAAGTTGTTGACACATTATAACAGGAAAAACTGTGTGACTTCAACAGCTGCATCTGTTAATAACTTATTATAGAAAAAGTACTCACATTTTATTTCTCTCCCACTTCACTTCATATTATGTTAATATTATTCGTTTCATATGTTAATTAAAATGTTTTTACATAAATTAAAATATATAAATAATATTTTTGTTTAGAGTGAAATTATTTATGTTATTTAAACATGTTTTTATTTCTTTTGTTTATCGTTCTAAAATTTCATATACAAGTGTTTCTCTTTATTTTAGATAAGGTTGAAAATAAAAGTAAAGTTAAACAACAATAATAATTAATGAACTTTTAAAATAATAAATAAACATTTTTTTAAAATGGTAAATATAAAATATGTTAATTGAGATTCAATTCTTATGTGTATGAATATAAAAGACTTTATTAAGATAAACAAAACTCACTTCAGTGATTTATACATTAGTTTTGACTATCAGGTTAAAAAATACTTTTAAGATACTACAAAAATATAATTAGATGATAAAATATATACATAGATGAAGTTACTTATGTCTGATTACTTGTCATAGAAAGTATCTTCACTCTTCACAGCTTCAGCGTTCAAGAGTTGTTTGAGGACAGTGTTGAAAATCTTCAGACGTTGAATCTGCTTGGTAACAAGACCAGATACAGTATGGAACAAGACATCACAACTCAAACCAAAAACAGAAAAAGTTAATAGATCACGTGCCTTTGGGAACACGATGCTATACTAAGAACATTCTCCAACAACGAGGGAAGATTCACAACTAGGACCACAACGTGGGAAGATTCAAATTACAGAAGTTCCACAATGAAGGGAAGATTCATAATTAGGAATGGTTCCACGATCAAGGGAAGATTCAATCGCATGTCTTGAAGCTATTTTGTGTTGCCTTTTTTCCTTCCAATAATTGTGTTGAATAAAAATAGTGAGAATACATAAATTTTTTTATTCTGATTTAGTTTTTAAATTGTTTATTGTATTTTGGTTTTTGATTTTTTTAATTTAATTTATTTTTCCGAGTTACTTGTTTTAGTAATGATAAAAAAAATTGTCACAATTATAAAATAAAAATATATAATTTTTAACTGTTGAAAACTGTCAAAATTAATAAAATAATATTAAATTGAAAAATAAAGAATCAAAATGAAACTAAAATAAATAAATAAAAAAAACTGAAATTAAAAAAAAAAACTATTGATTTTGTTTATGAGAAAGAGAATACACTTAAAAATCGGTGGAACTTTTTTTATGCTTTGTCGGAGGAGCTTAAGATAACTAGTATTTCACATCTGCATTAAATGTCGTGTTATGAAAATTAGCACAAAAATTTACTAAAGATAAACTCCACTATCATATGACGGGCTCGTGTTGAATGATACAGATTTTGTATTTTCTTTTCCGAAACATGGTTATTTGGCTCTAAAATGTTGAGATTAATATTTTTAGAAAAATATACATCGAATGCCACATCGAATCCATTATCCAACCTTTTTATGATTTTGACGGATAAGTACAGAAATTTAAATATCAATATATCTGGAGAAAAGTTTGAGATAAGAACCATCTTAAATAGTTGTGTATAAGAAAAATAGCCGATAAACAAAATTGTTTATACGAACTGTTCTTATATATCACAGTACCATATTCTGAGAAAAGTAAAAGTCACCTACTTTTATGATACACTGACGAATTATTTATAGAGATTAAATTTACAACAGATCAATATACTAAAAAGAAGTGCATTGTTTTTCTCATAAAATTATCACACTCTTTGGAGAGAATACAAATCCGAAGCACCAAAGCTAAATGGAAAAGAAGGAAACTGGTCTTAATTTTGCCTCTGATATGAATCAATTTTGGTTACTTGGTCCATTCTGTCCTGTTATGGAATCCAAGTAAAGTCAAACACAGATTCATGCCCCCCAAGACCGTTTTAACAAAACACGCTAAAATACTCTTCAACCCTCTTTCAAATGCTTCAAGGAAACAAACTCTACAAAGCCTCAAACTTATCAAAGTAACTCATTAACAAAAGAATGCTATTTCCCTGTATATTTTAAGGTTTCACATTCAACCAAACATTTCCTAATAATTTTTTTAGTTTTAAATTTCTGTCATGGCAATCCTTAAGATAACCAAAAAGCACCATAAGCGTTTCAACAACCCTTTCCCCTCTTCTGCTTCAACCACCATCCCGTATGTCCAAGGCTCTCTCTTCATCAACTCCAAAACAGAACTTTCAGATCAAACCTTCTCAATTGGTAATGATTTTCAGCTTTCTTGGACCACCAACAGTGGTGGGCACCTCTCAATTTCTCATCTTTCTCAGGTTACCAGACCCATTTGGTCTACCATTCCAGGACAGGCCTTTATCTCAGCTGCACTGGTTGACACTGAGGTGGAAGAAAGTAGAGGATCATTTCTTGTCAAAGACAAAGATGTTCATTTGATTTGCAACCACCAAACCATTGAGGGTATTAGGATGATCAATAATCAATTTGGTCATCATTTGGAATATGAAGTTGCAGATTTTCCATCTGGGCATCAAGGATTGGACCAGAAAACTGACACACAAGAAACCAAGCTTCCTACTTTGATGATCACAGGAAGGCTTTTCAATATGACTAAGAAGAACAGAAGGTTTCAAAAGCATGGCATTCAAGCAAATATACAGTTTGAAGCAAAAGGGCCCTCTGTGTATGCAAGGTATTGGGTTTTCTTCCATCAGAAAACCAACCATGAGGTCGGGTTTCAAGTGAAGATTGAGAAACCCAACTTCATCTCACGCAACCAGGTGTCTACAGCAGCTTCAGGAGGATACCGTGGCTTTAAGAGGAGGCTGAGTAATCGGAAAAAGAGACTAGGTTGGTGTTGGTACCTTTCAAGGCCAAGAGGATTTGTTCTGGTTTCTTCAGTAGAGGAAGAAATAGGAGACTTGAGAATCTCAAAATCAGAAGAATTCAATAGAATGTGGTTGACATATGCAAGTGATGAAAATGAGAGGTTTTATGGTTTTGGGGAGCAGTTTTCTCACATGAATTTCAAAGGCAAAAGGGTGCCCATCTTTGTTCAAGAGCAAGGTATTGGCAGAGGAGATCAACCTATTACCTTAGCTGCCAACTTGATCAGTTACAGGTAGTGTAATGCAACGGTTTCATACGCCTAATTCAATAGAATATATCATAAGCTATATATATTTTGTTGACAACACAATGATAAGTGATACATTTCATTGTTATTGACAGGGCAGGAGGTGATTGGAGTACAACTTATGCTCCTTCTCCATTCTACATGACATCAAAAATGAGGTCTGTCTACCTTGAAGGATATGATTATACGGTCTTCGATCTTACTAGACTTGACAGAGTACAGATACAGGTATTGGTACAGACATTATGAGATAGAAATGGTACAAGTTTATTATTGTAACTGGACTGATCTATATGAACTACTCAAAATTAGATGGAGTAACTAGTGCAAAGAAATTCTGAAATTTGTGTGCTCAATATTGGAAATTTCGAGGCATTGCATGTAGGAAGAATGAATCTTTCATAAAGTAAAATTAGTACAGTATTAGTATATATTTGTATTGTATCACATGAAAAGTGTGGAAAGTTTACAATACCTTAAAGCAGTCATATGTGATGACTGAGGAATTTAATATAACCAGGAATCTGTGCTACATATAACTGTGCATAATGAAATACTAAATGCTTAAGTCTTCAACAATTTAAAACATACTGAATTGTTATAATGTAATAAAGTAATATGACTTAAATCCCTTTTTTTTTTTTTTTTTGGGTACATATTTATAACTGAAGCACGCACTTTCCAAATTTTTGTACCCTGGCGCTTGCAGATACATGGAAACTCGGTTGAAGGGAGGATATTGCATGGGAACTCACCATGTGAACTGATTGAACGTTTCACGGAAAGCATTGGAAGGCTACCTGAGCTTCCGGAGTGGATAATATCTGGTGCTATAGTTGGAATGCAGGGTGGCACAGATGCTGTACGCCATATTTGGAATGTACTAAGGACTTACGATGTTCCTATCTCAGCATTTTGGTTGCAGGTAATCCTTAACCCCTAAACAAGAAAAAGTATTTGAAGGTAATTTGTAGACTCTGGCCCTCTGCAGCTTCAACAAACTTGGAATTCACATTTCAGTTTGCTTCAATAGATAGTGTTCATTCTTGCTTTGAACCCACCATTTGCAAGAATTAAGATCGTGTATTTTGTTTTTGAGTGTGTTATACACACATACACAGATTTCTGACACTCTTCTGGGAACCACTGGAAATTAACTTTCACACAACTTCCTCTGAACAAACTTGGCTTGTGCACTCACCCTCACAAACTTGCAACTATCACAATTCTTTGTTGTTTTAATTAACATTGTTTACATCACAGGATTGGGTAGGGCAGAGAGAAACATTGATCGGTTCACAACTCTGGTGGAATTGGGAAGTGGATTCACAAAGGTATTGTGGGTGGAAGGAGCTTATCAAAGATCTTAGGACTCAGCATATAAGAGTTATGACATATTGCAATCCCTGTTTAGCTCCGGTAATTTTTCCTTTTAATCACTTGAATGTATAAATATTGTACTCAATAATTTGTTTGTCTCCAATCATACTGCATTTGTATAGGCAGATTGAGATAGAGTCAGTAATATAAATCTTTTTTAATCTTCGTCTGATCCTTTAGGTTAATGAGAAACAAAACAAAAGGAGAAACCTCTTTGCGGAGGCAAAACAGATGGACATACTTGTGAAAGACAGCAATGGAAATCCATACATGGTTCCAAACACAGCTTTTGATGTAGGAATGCTAGATCTAACACACCCAAAAACTGCAACTTGGTTCAAGCTGATTCTACAAGAAATGGTTGATGATGGCGTTAGAGGATGGATGGCTGATTTTGGTGAAGGCCTTCCAGTCGATGCTGTTCTATATTCAGGTTTCCATTCACATATATTTGTTCCAAAACTTATGCTCAGTGTATATATATAAACTTCTGACCTACTTCATGAGGCCTTTCCAATGCCATTGATTGTAAAACACAAAGAAAAGTGGGTTAAAGTAATAAATTAACTATTGGGTGCAATGCATATCATAACTTCCATCTCCTCTCAAAACTTTCTCCGAGGATAATTTTCTGAACATTCGCTCATCATCACACCTCCTAACCCAAAGGAAATAAAGAAAGAGAACAAAACAAGACTACATTTCATGCATAAGTTTGTGATTCTTACTAAGATTTTCTATCCTCCATTTCAGGTGAAAATCCTATTTCAGCTCATAACAGATACCCAGAACTATGGGCCAAAATTAACAGGGAACTTGTGGAAGAATGGAAAAGTAACTCCTTGGACAAGGTGAAGGAAGACCAGGAAGAGGACCTGGTTTTCTTCATGAGGGCTGGTTATAGGGATAGCCCCAAGTGGGGGATGCTATTTTGGGAAGGAGACCAAATGGTTAGTTGGCAAACAAATGATGGAATAAAGAGTTCTGTTGTTGGCCTACTGAGCAGTGGAATTTCTGGCTATGCCTTTAATCACAGTGACATTGGAGGATACTGTACAATAAACTTACCCATAGTTAAGTATAGAAGAACTCAAGAATTGCTTTTGCGATGGATGGAGCTAAATTCTTTCACCACAGCCTTCCGCACCCATGAAGTAAGTAAAATACCTGTAACATGGCATACCCCTTTGTCATGCTTATATTTTCTTCTATCATTATTATCATTGTAGAAGTACTTAGCATGGATACATTCATCATAACAGGAATTTTGCTCATCAACGGAAGTTTTCATTCTTTGACAACATTCTTTGTGTGGCATTGTCCACGTGGAGTGGAGCCACTTAGCCGAGCATACTAATGTAACACACAAATTTTTCTGTCACATGCTTTTGCTTCATAAACAAAAATAAAACTAATCCACACACTGAATCACATGGCCAAAAGAAAGATAACTTTTTATTCGATAAATTTTAGCCATTCAAAGTTTGTGATAGCAATGAGTTACTTATGCATGACCTGTAAGCAGGGCAACAAACCATCATCCAACAGCCAGTTTTACTCAAACCAACAAACCTTGTCACACTTTGCGCGTTTTGCAAAAGTATATGCGGCATGGAAATTTTACCGAATTCAACTGGTGAAGGTGATCCCAAAATTTATCTTCACACACTATTTTAACTATACATTGAGCAAACTCAGCAGGCCTTTAAAATGCTCCTTTCCATGTCATATTTGTAAATAGGAAGCTGCAAAGAAAGGATTGCCTGTTTGCCGCCACCTGTTTCTCCATTATCCTAATGATGAACGTGTGCATCACTTGAGTTATGAGCAGTTCTTGGTTGGTTCTGAGTTCTTAGTGGTGCCTGTTCTTGACAAAGGAAAGAAGAAAGTTAAAGCTTATTTTCCATTGGGAGAGAGTTGCAGTTGGCTACATATCTGGACTGGAAAAGTATTTTCCAAACAAGGAAGTGAAGAATGGATAGAATCTCCAATAGGATATCCTGCTGTATTTGTTAAGGTTGATTCCCACATTGGAGAAACCTTTCTTAATAACCTTAGAAGTTTAGGCATTCTTCAATGAACTATACATCAGATATAGACAGTCTTAGATATGTACATAGCATCTAAGTAACGTCTCATTTCATGCCCCTGAATTAACTCACTAGTATCATTGCAATCGAAGCTGGTCCCTAATGCAATGAAATAGCTGGAAGGACCTGAATCATATATGTATCACACTCATTTCTTAAACTATATAATAGCTCCATAGTTTCTTAAGACAGCCTCTGCATTCATTTCGATCAAATCTACGGATGAAATAAAACATTAGGAAAATGGCCCATATTCCATATATTTTTGTATAACTTATTTTAACTAAATAATAACGTAGTGATGAGATCATACATCGATAATAGATATAACTAAACTAAGGCTGAGACAATTTTGATATTAGGTTACCCTTGGCTGTAAAAGGAATCAGTCCTCCAATTTTTACACTTGAGATGTTAAATCACGAAAAACATTTTCCTAAAACATTTTAACAAGGTGATATAGAGGACAAATTACTTTTAAAAACCAGATATAATGTGAATCATTCGAAGAAAAAGATGCGACGCAACCCCATTTCTGGGATTGGTCTTTAGAACGCTCAGAAAAGAATGCATGGGAATGTGATTCAACTTGCGCTAATACTTACAATACATAAACCTTCAACTTTCACGAATAATGAGTTTTTCTCCGACAATTTTGTTTCGAATGTTATTTTTGTGCGCGTGAAGAATAACGTTGTTTTGTAATCGAATACTGCAGTGGCATATTCCCTCACTACCAATATTTTACATGGTTTCCTTGAAATTTTGTGGCATATTCTTTTAGATACCTACTTATATCAAATTCCGACAAAAAAAACAAAACTACTTCATTTTTTCTTTTTTGGTATACGGCATAGCTTAGGCCTTTGGTTGCACAATCACACAACCTTGTATCGACAAATTCTGCCATGAAAAAATATTGACCATGTATCTAGAGTTTGATTCTTTTATACAAGGTGTCAAATTTAAAAATTTATATTTTTTAATATTTTTTTATAAAATATAAAATTGATAATTTCAAATGTTGAATCATATTATATTATCTTTATAATTATGTATATTAAATTTCATATAATTTAGATATTTGTAATTATATTATTTAAAATTTATTTATTTATATTTTAAAACATAATACCTATTAAAATAAGGTAGTATATAATAAAGTACTGTTAAATTTATTTTTGTATAAAATTTTATGAAGTTAATATATTTAATAATAACTTTCAAATAAACTGTTGGATTGGTTTCACATTGTAAATGGATCTTGCTCATCCTAACTCATATATGTATTGCATTTGACTTACAATAAATTTAATTGAATATATACTTTTTTTTTGTAAACTCTTTTTTAAAATATTAATTTAATTATTGAAAACATGTATAACCATTGGAGTTCTTTAATAGTTTTTATCGTCAACTTATTATTTTTTTACTATTATAAAATAATATCTTGCGAAGACTTTCAAATAATATTGTTAGCATAAGATGGATCATATGCTAATGTTTACTCTTATAAACACTTAAAAAAAAAATGGGAGCAATTACAGTTGTATTAAACTATCTCATTTGTTATTTAACTGTTTTTTTAAAAAATGATTCTTAAGTTTTTTATAATTATTCTTATTTATCTGTTCATGTAAAAATTCAAGATAATATTACTTTTAACCCTAAATATAAAACCTTTGACAGAGTTTATTCTCATCTTTTTCCGAAGGCTTCTAACAAGTTGTTGATTGTGCATTAATGATTTTTTCACAAAAATACTTAGATAAAACAAAATAATGAGGCATAAAGAGCTTATCATGGGTTCCAATAATTTTAAGGACAGATTTAAAAAGAAAAAAACATTCAAATTATTGATAAATTTCATGTCATCAATGAATTTAATTACTTTTATAATTCTTGTAAGATAATTAAAAAAATCTCATTTAATACTAAGATAACTTTTATTATTATTCTTTTACTAATAACCCTTTTCATATAAAACATTTATACTCTTTAAATAATTCAAGAACCAAAAGAAAACACGTAAGATGGATTAATAAGAATAACTGAAAATTAAATCTTCGACCGAGTTTAATCACAAAATATACTTCAAATTTGCGTTTTACAATGGCAGGATCAAACACGAACTCAGGAGACGGTAACTTGTGAAGGGTAGCATGTGAAGTGCATGAACGATTACCCATGCAATTACAAAAAAATTAGGATCATAAATAGGTGGGGGCTAAAAAAATGCACGTTGTACATTTATAAAAATCAAATTAACCGCCAACCAGCCCCTCAAAATATTCCCAGCAGCTTAAAATGAGCACTCCATTGTGCCTAGTAAAGAGTTCTTTTAAATCACTAAATGGCACCAATGGAAAAATAGGAGCCATGCTTCAATTAAGACCTCTCCACATTCCACAGCATGAACAAAAATTTTGTGCTTCACTATATTGTATAGTTAATATGGAAGGCATGTCATTTCTCCACACATAGCTGCACGATCAAATATCTAGCTGATCAAGATCAATCATGTTTGCAGAATTTCGTATCAGCTCCTTCCGAACATCCACCTGATACAGATAATATTAAACATTCAGAATATGGCACAACAATAATAACTTTATGACATTGTACCTAAGAATATAGATAATCAACCAGGGGTAGCATTCAACTCTTTTTCAGCTCAAGCATGTGTCAATAAGCAATATATGATAATTGAGCATAAGCAAAAGAAACATACTACACTGGTCAACACAAATCATAAACCACCTGTTTCCATCAGGGAAAGAATGACAAAAAAATGCATATAGCTAACCATTGAACAAAGAAGCTTACATGAATGAAAAGCTCGTTCATAAAATTTTAAAAAGCAAACTAGTCAAAAGCAAGAATGCAATGCGGACTTGCAAGAAAAGTAAAAGGTGAAAATGTGGATTGTGGAATGATAGATATTTTCACAGATACAAGTTAATAATTTGAAGAGCCAAACACTCAAATAAAAAGTCTGGAGTTTTATATTAATCTGTTTTGCCTTATCTTCTGAACAGAAGCGATACACAAATGAATTCTGATCTCATCAAATAATTTTGTTAAATATGTTGATTGGGTATTGTAACACAATATCAGAAATATGCCATTTCTGAAAAATTTAGGATAGGCATACCGTTGTATTTTCAACAATGTGCTAAAAAATTACTTATATAATAACACTGCACAATAGTTATTATACCCAAGGCCAACTGATCCATGAACATGGCCAATTTCACGGTAAATGACAAATAAAACGGTTAAATAACAACGGAGAAATTATGCATGTCACTTAATGGAAGAGGCTCTTAGCTACAATAGCCAAGGTAAAAAGAGGTTAATGCACAGATCTCAAATAGGCTAATGATAAACCCCAACTTGTGTTTACCATAATCCAAGTTAACCTTACCAATCATACCAAGTTTATTATATCACGCTTAATAGAATAAACTTTTACGATACTTGTCACAAATTCCACATTGACCATTTAATTGAATGGGGTGAAGGAAATGGGAACTTTCAATCCAAACTCGATAATTTTACAAGTTTAAATATATTAAAATAAGAATGCATGCATGATTTCTGCCTTCTTTTAATAAAAACAAGAATTAAAATTTGAAATCAGAAGTCATTTGTCATATTTGACTGCCCAAAAATTTCTTAAAGTTCAATGTACCTGTAGTAAAATACATAGAAACAAATAGATTAAGGTGAAAAAAATCATAAAATATGAAAGCAATAGCACACATTACCCGAGCACCCATAAGAGAGGAAAAAACAATATTTGCTTCTGCTGCATCCTCAACTTTTAATTGCTTCAATAACCTGCGTTCTGGATCCATGGTTGTTTCCCATAGTTGTAAGGGCATCATCTCTCCCAACCCTGCATTTATAGAACATAGCAGATCACACTATTAAGTTATAATTACATAATTATGTTAAAAATCCCATGCAATTGGAGATTGGAAGATTTTTAAGTATTGAAACTGTGAGGTTCTCGCTGCAGCGAGATAAGTCTTGCTGTAGTGAAATAAGGCGGTGGACTGAAGTACTAGGATGGAACATTCTGGAGTATTTTCGCTGTGGTGAGAATGCGAGAATGTCTCGCTGTGCTGTAACGAGGATTTCTTGCTGTAGCGAAAAGTGCAGAAAACATATGCACATTTTTTTTTGATATTTTTGCTGTAGCGAGAGATAGCGAGCATGTTTCGAGTAATCTCTCGCTGTAGCAAGACTATCGCAATTCTAAAGGTTTTTAAAAGTTTTTTTTGCATGAAAACCATAAACTTCAACCTATATCAAGTTTCTCTAAACTCTCTCTTCGTTCTCTCAAATTAAATCCCTTAAAACACCAATTATCCTTCAAATCTAGGATCGTACAAACATCCGTTCTAAGTGATTCTAAGTAAATTTCTTTAAGTTTGATCTCGGTTCTACCGATGGTTTTTCTCTGTTTCATATTTCTCAAAGGTACCTTATAATTTTCAGGAAAATTTTCATTCTTGAATTATAACCTTTATCAATCTTCCCTTAAATCTTCATTTCGAGGTAAGGGGAGCTCTACTTTATCATTATATTACAAGTTGTGTGTTGAATTCACGAGAGCCTTATCTCATAGTACTGTATAATGATATGTATGTGTTTGATTGATTATTATGTGTTCGTGAGATGAAAAAAGCATGATATCTTAGTTGAATAATTTCATTAATAATTTTCAATATGTTGGGTGTAATATTGTGATTATTAAAGTGAAATGTTGATGATGTACTGTTGAGATATGTTAAAAAGAATGATGATGATGTTAGAATGTATATTTTGATTGGTGGAGTCATATTGATATGATGAGTAATGTAGAAATTGTCTAGAAGTGCTTATCAGCATGATTTTGTGACTGGACTTGAGATAAATATGACTAGATATGAGTACTGGATGAATCTAGCGTAAATAGTTACAGAGATAAACTAGGAGTATAGAATCTGGAGATGATGTGAATATTTGAAAAAATTGTAGGTGGTGAGTAACATTCGCGTATGTGTACAGATTTTGTCTACGAGCGAATGCGCCACATGGCCTCATTTGTTTTTCGATTAGACTCCTGAATATACCTTTATTAAAGGGTTCGTTATTGCATATGTTGTATCCATGTGCATGGATTAACCTGCGATTATTTACCTAGTTGAGTAATATCTTAAGAATATTGTTGGAGACATCGAATGACTGCGATCACAATGCACTGAAAGTGCTATCTAGAAAGGAAAAGATTTCATGTTGGAGATAGAATGAGAATTAATGATGTATGGTAACATATGTGATGATGTGTTATTTTATGATGTTACGTGCTGAGTGATATGAGACTTTTATGTTATGTATGAGTAGTAGAATAGTTGTTCACGCTTATATAATATTGTAGGAAATAAAGATGACGACGCCTTAAGGGCAGATTAGGATAGTAAATTGTTTTGAAAGAAGTAATGTTGAATTATGTATCTAGAGAATATAAGCGTATTATACATTTGAACTTCAGAGTGTACCTTGAGGATAATCAAGAATATACTTTAGAAGTAATTTATAATTATGTTGTACCTTTTGATTTTCCTGTAAATGCTAACATCGATCAGACACTTAGTTTTTATTTATGTCAGGGAACTGAGAGGAAATCCATGATCATAAATAATGTATTTACTTATCATGATCATTATTTGCTAGGAAGACTTACTCGATTCACTTTTGAGAGATTTTTTAGTATTGATGTTGTGGCGGATTCTAGTAATACTTATCTCGGACAATGATGAGTTAACTGCTAAGGAAGTAGCGGAAATAGAGGGCTCGCACGACAGTGATAACTAGTTTTCAGGTTCTCAGTGTATTGGGGTGAACATGATCTACTGTAAAAATTCAGTATATTTTGAATGATGATCTGTAAATGTAATTTTTTTTTTATATTTTACGATTGCTGTCAAGATTTTGAGAATGTAAATATGGAATTACAGTTTATTTTATATAATTTGTCTTAAACTTAGTTGGAGAATTTATTTGTTGACTAAAATTTTATTTAATTATAATTGACATTAGAATTCTGATTATAGAAATATTTATAGCTTGGCCTGTATATTTTTATTTTTTATCAAGATATTATATGAATTTGTAAGCGAAAGAGGTTCTATTTCAAAATCTTATTATTTATTTCACTGAACATTTTATTATTTGTTTACAACTGTACCTAAATTTTGATATAATTGAGCAAAGAAAAGTAAGGTGTTACAAACAGAATAATGAAAACATTGGAAAACAAGTAACTCCCATAGAAAACAAAAATTCAGCATTGGGGAAGCATGTGAATCTTCTAGAATAAATGGGTAAAAGTCATATTATACATAAGAAACATTTTAAAATACAACAGACTCAAACATAAAATTTTCTTTTCTTCAACTAACATATTGTTCACTACAAGGGTCTACAAGACACCCCAATGACAGCAGAGATTATCATTCCATATTCACTATACCCCTAAGCTCTCAGACGTGAGTTCATATTGATTCACTAGCATAGCTTTATAGGAAAGGGGATGGCATGAAATCATCACTCCTCTAATCATGTTTGGTATGATCAGGAATATTGCACAACATTCCTAGTCCTACTATTTAAACTGTGAAACTAAGGCCCAAATGAAAAAGAAAAAAAATAGAATAACATAAAGAAAATCTTAATTACTACAAATATTTTTGTTCAAGTTTCACAAATCTGTGGTGAGAGACTGGTAGTTTAACACTGATGCATCCAATTATTTTTTAATTCATTTCTTAATTTGACCACCCATGTTTCTAGTATACATTTCCTCTTTTGTAGTCAGATTCAATTGATCCACTTCATGATAAATAGCAGTTTTCCTGACATTAACAACCCTATCAATTAAATAATCTATTGTATTATTTAAATTGTAGTTTGCCAAAACTGTATTACAAGCCTACAAATAATTCTAATACAAGTAACATGCAACTAAAATAACTTTTCATCATACCTTTGAACCTTTGCATGTTGTATGATGCATTAGGAGGGAATGAGCTTCGAAGCTTTTTAAGGTCAGCATCATCATAGCAATAGTGCACTTGTTTTCCCCTCACAACCTGGTTATTTCAGTAAAGATAACTGGAGTTAGCATGATTTCATCTGATAGACATTTCATGTAGCACAAACCTAAGGCAAACCTTGTACAGTGGTGGAACACCAACATATATGCAACCTTCATCAAACAAAGCTCTCTGCAAGAAAGAATCAATGCATCAAATTTGATCATTTTATTTTTGTTCTTATTTTTATAGGAGCTATTTTGGTTTTCATCCTCCATGTAGGAGTAGATTTTGCTGGCATTTCCTGTATAGTTTACCTGATATCTAAAGAAAAAGGTCAGTAGCAGAGTTCGGATGTGCGCACCATCCACATCAGCATCAGTCAAAATAATAATCTTATGATATCGGAGGGCATCCTTTTTAAAATCCTCTCCCTGAACCAACAAAAGACATTTTTTAATTAAATTATTAAATAATAGCTGACATAAGTTAAAGAGCACAGAATTCTGGCACAGGTAAACAAGGTTTTTAACTTTGACAAACTTGTCTTTATCAATATTTATGCTGGTTGGAGAATATCACAAATAACTTAGTTATCATGCTATTCAGAGATGGATTTTCCAATTCGATTTTGGAATTCACTAAAGATTTTTAACTTCTGATCGTATTCAGCAATCGGGATTACTTTCGCATTTTCAGGATTTCCTAATTCCCATATTCTCTTACTGACCACACATTGCTATTTCTGTCTGTAGATTCACTTCACAATTAACATTGATCGTTATTTACTTGGTTATTTTGGGCCTTCATTTTGGAATCTCAACAATTTGAAGACCTGTAAGCAGGTTGCTTGCAAGTTACTCTTCCACTAAGACTCTGAATCATATTTCATTAGCAATTTGTTCTTTATTTTGATAAAAGAAGAAAGTCACTGAACCAAAGAGAAAATTTTCAATTTAGTTATAATTTATTTAGATTTTACTGTGATTTGTTTTCAGATCCATCATTTATCTATTTATTTTGAGCTTTAACTCCTCCATAATAAATGAAACAGGGACAATGTTAACCTTCACTCCAAGACCAAGACCAAGAATTAAATTTTGGATCTCTTCATTTTTGTACATTGCTGCTTCATCCCTCCTTTCAATATTCAGAATCTTACCCCTCAAAGGGAGAATGGCCTGCATCAAATATGATATGATAAATACATGCTCTTACGCAACCCCAAATGTTTCTTTTATTCATGTAATGAACATCAATCTACCAAAGTGCTCCACATGTCAGTAAAGAAAGAATTTAAGTGATCAGATACCACAGTTAGAAAACAAGCATTAGAATATACAATCACAAAATTATCTATAAATATTTAAGCCAAATCAAAATGTGAAACTCCTCTCACAAAATTTTAAATTTCAGTCATCCACAACATTACCTTTGTTATAATGTTTTTTTACTTTCAAAGGCAACAAAAAACTTTAATGAAAATTAAGAAAATCATGTTTCATTTAAATATTATTTCATAGAAAATTTGTCATTGGTACAATTCAAAATATTAACATAGCTAATATTTCATCTAACATTCTGCCAAGGTAGCTATTAATATTCAGGGATGGTAGTAATGGCAACACCATACAAGGATTTGGGAAACAAAAAATAATTGAAAAAGATGACTGCCCTAATTGCCTTGTGTTATTTCTTTTCAAGATGAAAGTGGCAATATTTTGCATATCTTTGCTTCCAAATGAAACACTATCTAAGGCATAAAATAGTCAATAAATTTACCAAAGCAATAGAATAAATAGTTTATATTATAGATAGGAGATATAACAAAACCAGTTTGTGCCTTCACCTAAGAATGTAAGATTTTAGGACACTTGATCCTTCATATTATATCGGGTTACCTTGACAAGTTGTCAAGAGTTCAATCCTCACTGCCTCCTTTCTTGTAATAAAAAGGTTGAATTTCAATACAAGGTATAGTGATCAAGACTGCATTGTTTACAATCACACTTCAAACCCAGAGGGCTATTGCATGAAGGAGCATGTTAAAGATATAATAAAACATGTTTTGTGTCTAAGCTTAAGCTTTTAGGAGAGTCAGTCCTCAATAGTTTCAAATTTTCAGTAGAATGTACAGTAAGGTTAAACAAGGTCACAATTTTTGTAGGCTTTGATGCAAAAGTATACACTTTACCTGAAAGCGCCTGTCACGCCCTTGCTTAGCACTTCCTCCAGCTGAATCACCTTCAACAATAAAGATTTCTGCAATATAGGGATAAAGAATAAAAAAAATTTAACTCAAAACACACTGCCACCTCATCAAGAGATTAAACCAAAAAGATCTCAGCTAATTTCACATGAACTAACTATGCTATGACACAGCTCCACATATACAGTGTTAATCTAAATATACTGAGCATATTGTCCTGCCAGTTAAGAAACAACTCCATTTAAATAATAGATTATATCAGTTGGACATAGTCCCAAATATCACCAAAGGATTCTAAATATTATCTCTAAAACTGTAATCACCCCAAAACATCAAATAATTGTTTTCACCCCAATCCTTAAAAGCCAGCCTGCATATAATTGCCTAAGGACATCAAACCACAGCCTTGAAAATTGACATATATTTAAATTATATGAGAATGCATACTTTTGAAAGCTCTTAACATAATTAGGAGACGAGACTGGAAATCAAGAGTCAAAACTCAGAACGATTATACTAAAATAGAGATTCAAGATTTCAGGTTCTCTGTCTCCTAGCATTGATCCAATCTCAGTTGTCAAAATTCAAGTTGTTTTCTTAAAACCAGAAAAAATAAAGCATGTGATGAGATTCAACCTCCACAACACTTGGTATTATGGACCACCAAATACTGTACAAGTCACATAAGAATGACAGCAAATGATTTCAGCAATCAAAAAGGCAGTCAATCAAAATAGATGGGATTCTCTAGTTACTGTCATCAAATTACTATGTAGATTCATCAAAAATATCTTGGAAGTTCCATTTGCACAATTCATGAGTCGAGTCTATCCTTTTTTATCATTTCTAATTCAGTGTCTGTTTTGTCCTGTTGTATTAATCTAGAATTTTTTATGCAGTTAAGCTGATTATAAAATGAGTAAGCATCACTACAGAGAAACAGGAGCAGGAAAACATATATCAAAGGAATAGATTTGGATAGCAACTTCAAATAAGAATGTAACAAATTATAGCACTTTTGCTTAAAATATTAATGTCATATTCTTAAAGTTATTATACGCAGAATTAATAGGAATAACTCTTATCATTGAACTAGGTCTGTCACAGAATGGTTGTATCTACTAAGCAAAATAAGCTCCACAAAATAGAAACAAGTATACCACAATCTTCAGGATTTGTGGACGAACAATCAGCTAGTTTTCCTGGAAGAGATGAAGATCTCAATACACTCTTTTGTCTCACCAATTCCCTTGCTCTTTTTGCTGCCAAAGCTGCCTAATTAGACCATAAATATCACAAGAGGAAAGCTTTCTGGTTAACCTAAGCAATAGGGTTTAAAATACAGAATTGTAAACTTGAAAAAGAGATGACTACCTTGAAAGCATTAAGAGCTTTAGAAAGTACAGAATCAAGAACATCTGGATGCAATTCCAAATACTCAGTAAGGTAGTCTTGAATAGATTGATCAACCACTTTTCGCACCTCTGGATTTCCTAACCTTGTCTTTTCACAACAGAGAGAATGGTAAGAAAGAACTTAAAGCAGAGCCATGAAGTGCAGGGAAACAAAATCAAGGCTGAACCTCAATATTCCAAAAACCACAATAAGCATTTCATCAAATAACATAATCATAAAGTATGCACTATGCAATACCTTTGTTTGTCCTTCAAACTCTGGATTTGGGACCTTGACTGAGACAACACATGTTAGACCCTCTCTTACATGCTCACCACTTAGAGTAATATCCTTATCCTGCAAATAACAGAAATGCTACTCAATAACGAAAATAATCCACTTTAAACCATTCATAAAATAATCCATTTAGACAAGGGAGGCATTTGCTATTTTTCAATTACCACATTTAACATACATGTACAGAAGTTCCAGTTCTGCTAAGCATGCAATACATAACTAGAAAAGTGGTTTAGTATTTTGAGAAATTACTTACCTGTAGACCTGTAGTGCACTCAAAGTTAAGGGTAAAATAATGTAGTAGCAGGGTTAGTAAATTTAGTCTCAGAATATCAAAGCAACAAATTTTTAACTACAAGTTATATATTTCAGGAAAGTAGATGCGCAGAAGTTAACAGGGAAAATAAAGGAGATAATAAACACAGTTGAGTAATACCTTGATAACTTTGGACTTCTTTCCAAGACTATTCAATGTTCTTGTTATAGAAGCCTTCATACCATCAATATGAGTGCCACCATCAATAGTGCGTATGCTATTAGCATATCCCAGTATTGTATCTGAATATGCATCTTCACACCTAGTAAAGAAGAAATTAAATGAATTTCATACTAATAAAAGGAATTATGAATAGTTATCAACCATATTATACAGAAAATTATACAATATATTGCTCATTTTGAGCTTCTATATTTACAAGATATAAAAGGCTACCACCCCATAACTTCACAAGTTAATTCTTACTCATACTCGTTAGGATTCAACTGCCAAATACACACAAATGAATCCTGACACAGAAATGTATCTAGCAAACAGAACAGAGCTATATCAATTGGCATTGGAGGGCTCACCACTGAAAAGCTATATCAATTGTGATGCCATCTGTTTCTTTTCTAAAACTCAGTACATCATGCAGAGCTTTCTGGAACAGAAGGTCACTAATCAATAACCACTTTAAAGTTACTTTCAAATCCAAATCCAAATAAACTACATAATAAGCAGTTTTCCATTAAAAGGATAAAAATTGAAGCAATGAACCATTTTTTATAAAGAAAATCAACAATGATAAAATCATGTCACAATATTCAACCATTCTTATAAGGCTAACAGGGACCATCACTTACAAGCAATGGGAATACATCCAACTGTAGAAAAAGAAAGTCACAATTTTAAAAGAGATTGTTATGAACCCAGAATAGAATATAGAGAAAAGAAAAAGAATATTGTATTGCTTGATTGAAAATGCACAAAACCAGGGAACAGATCTCTCCTTCAAGGGTTTCCCCTTCACAAAGGAATGTCACTTTTACAATTGAGCTAATGCCTAATGCTACTGTTCTCCAAAACTAACAAATATCCTCCAATCCTCTGCCCTCCTACCACTTAAGTTAACTAGCCAACTAATTCTGTAACTAACTACTACTCTAACTGTTTTGCTTTTCAGCTCTACTTGACCATATTTCCTACAAGTCTTCAGTCGTCAGCCCCATCAGACATCATCCAAGAGTTATTAATGCCCATGCAGTACAAGTAGTAGACTTAATGCTATCCACATAACTGAACTGACTAAAAAATGCAAAGACAACCCTGTCCAGGCCATTGGGTTGTCCTGCATAGGTTTCAATTGACTGCCAAACTAAAGAGATCTAATGGCCCCAGTGCAGGGGTGAGTTCAATTGTGATTCAACCAGTTGTGTAAATAGCATCGCAGCCATTACTCCAAAACAGTAGTAATACAACTTATACAACTTATTTTGTTGCAAACCTGAATCCAAATGGTACCACTTAAACCTTTTGTTATCTTAAACAAATGCTATGTGACTATGTGAGGAAGTGTTTACAGCTGTGAACTTAAATGAGTTGTGCAGTAAAAACTAAAACAACAGAATTGATATTTCATAGAAAAATATAAGCATAGAATGTGATGAAAACAATCATAACAAACTTATTTTATAATTGAAGAAAGAAGAATGGAGAAGGATAAGATATCTTACAAAAGCAAACCAACACAAGTAAAAATATATAAATAAAATGAATGTCATTACGCATGCATTACAAGCATAAAGGTTAAAAGCACACGACCTTATCAGTGTTAAGCCATTTCACATATTCAACCAATCCCCCAGCATAGAAATATTCATTATATTGAACTTTTTCTGGATCATTGTCCTCTTTCCGAAGTGTGATAGTAAGCTGCAAAGGTCAAGAAAATTCATGGTAAGATGCAAAGTAGATAGAAAATTGCTCTTCGAGAAGTCTTTGATTTATAGGTGGTTAAATGAGGGACAATACTTTGGGCAGCTCAGTCTTGCTTTTTAGGTGTGCCAAAAGATCAACAAAAACTAATCGTCTAATACTAAACCTAATTTACATTACACATAAAGCTCAAGCTTGAACTCCGATCAATTACAAAGCATCTTTACTTTCATATTATAAAACTCATCAAAGAAAAGATGTTTCTTAATTCTATATCATAACTTCTTTCATCTTTCAACTATATTAAATTGTACAGCATAAAATCTTATAGTTTTTTTCATCTATTAGAGTAGCCCGACAAATTTACAGACATAAACAACAGTCAGCCAAGGTATTGACAATAAAAGGGCAGATGGCATTGGCAGGTTTCTAACAAGCAAAAGATGGTGTTTCTTGGATTTGAGTAAGGTAATACGAAATTAAAACCCTAGAAGGTTCAAAGACACAATGCTCATGAAGGTTCAAAGACACAATGTTCATGAATAAATGTCATGATAAATTATCCACATTTAAGACCACTTCTAATAAGAAAAATAAATGTTGAATGAAACATCACAAATGGACATTACTTGAATCAATAACCTCACCTTTGGGTTGAGGAAAGCTAACTCCCTAATGCGTCCAGCTATTGTATTGTAATCAAACTGAATAGCAGTGGTGAATACTGCATGTTAAGTTGGGATAAGAGTAAAGCATGCATTAGACTGAAGTTTGCAGTAAACAAGAAAAAACATAACCAGAAATGCATGATCAAATAAATATATGAACCTTCTTTGTCTGGCCAAAATCTGATACGTGTCCCTTGAAGATCTTTCTTTTCATCTGGAAGCACAAGGCATTTCAGAATTGTCACTGGCTTTCCGCAAGAATATGTTTGCATGTATTCCATTCCATCACGCCAAACTGTTACCTCTAATGACTGTGAAGTAAGATAGCAAATAGGATCCTCAGATAACATTGATAACTAACCAGAACTAACAACCTCAGACTAAAAAGGAAATATAGAGGTGCTTGTATATTTAGTTAATATTTAAACCTATGACAAAGAAGGTGCAATGATGAGTTGAAATTAGATCCAGAACATCAATACCCATTTCAAATTCTTCATCCAATGCTTTTCAAATATGCACTGTAAAAGCTCAACTTAAAAAATAGGAAAAATTTGTCAAAGAAAACATACCTCAGACAATGCATTAACAACAGACAAACCAACGCCGTGTAAACCACCTGAAACAGAGTAACCACTATTGGCACCACCAAATTTTCCACCGGCATGCAAGACCTGCAAAGTTCATAACAGCAACAATCATTACAGCATTATCCAACTGAAAAAAATTATGCAGAAAAGATTCAGTCTAAATAGAAAATGAACTCCAAATGCTGGGTAAAATTGTGTTACAGCATAAAGCCCAAATTCCAACCTTTTCAAAAGTGAAAATTCGTATTTGTGGAACTAAAACAATGTATTTCCTTACACTAAAACCATAATTTAGTTTAACAGACTCAAGTGGATTTGAATTTCATGGTATCTAAAGATACATGCAACATAGACTTCTGAAAATGCTTAAAGCGTATATATAGCAATTATCTAGACTATTAATCAAGTATGTGTAACAATACCGTCAACACTGTCTCCAAGGCAGATTTATTTGTAACTGGATGCAAGTCAGTAGGAATCTGAATTCCACAAGATAAATTAGTATATGTAATCAAATTAAAGCAAGGGATTGTAAATAAACAGAGATCAATAGTAGTTTAGTACAAGCATTAACAGCTAAAAATCATGATAAATGGCAAATTATACTCATATCCATAAAAGAACAATAGCTAGCATTGTCAAGCAGCTGGTCATATATAATATTTAACTCCACAAAACTAGGGAAGTTAGAAAATAGTTACTGGTTACACTAAAAAATATAGCAGTACCATTATACAGTGCACAACTCAGTCTTTTTTTGTTGTAAATTTTAAATCTAAAAGGAAAAAGTTCAAATTTCAAATTAACATTACATTATAGATACAGACAAAGCACAATCTACCCATGAAGAAATTTAGACAGCAAAGCATACCCCACGACCATTGTCCGTGATGCTCACAGAATCATCTGCAAGTAAAATAACATCTATCTTGGAAGCAAATCCAGCTTGAGCTTCGTCAACAGCATTATCCAAAATTTCATACACCTAAGATACCAAATAATCTCTGCATCAATTAGAAAATTCCCAGAACAAAAATTAAAATATCAAAAAAATCTGCAAAAATGAAATTAGAAGACGATACCAAATGGTGCAACCCACGTGGGCCAGTGCTTCCAATATACATCCCAGGCCTTTTTCTTACGGGGTCCAATCCTTCAAGCACCTACATGTTTTAAACAACCATTGAAGAAAAAAGGCTGCAACCTTCCAAAGTATATTTGACAAGCAATACATTAAAGGCACTGACAAGAAATATACCAAAGATAAGTTTAAACACACAGCACTCATAAAATTCTGTAGCACAAAAACAGTTACAACATCCAATCTACATTCAACAATTGGTTTCATGATATTGTGTAGACAATAAAAAAACAATCCGAAATTACCTGAATTTGATCAGAACCATAAGCTTTGGAACTTTCATTTTTCTGAAAAGCTTCAGTTGTCGAGACAGAAGACATAAACGCCCTCGGAGTGACTGCATTATGTACCGAACGTGGAATCCACAATTTTCCGAGAGGAAAACTTATCCTGAGAAAACCCAAAAAAAATTACAAATGAAGACAAACAAACAACCTTCTAGCTATGGTTCAATAGAAAAAAAAAAAAAAACAGTCAAAAAAAAAACCATCCATTTTATTAAAAGTTGCGAACTTTGTTATAATTGAAGTATTGGCAAGTATGAAATATTAAAGGGGAAGCAATTTATAGAGAAGAAAAGGGGAAAAAGGAAGCGGAAAGCGAAGTTAAACCTGGGTTTGGAGAGGGTGGAAAGAAGAGAAGAGGAATGAGGGTGAAAGGAAGAGACGGTGAAGAAGCGAGAGGCCATGAAGCGAAGCAGAGGAGGACGAGTTAGAAGGATAGGTGCCATCGCATTCACATGGAAATCAAATACAACCAAACCAAAACAACATCTCTTTCTTTTCTTTTCCCTGCTTTCTAAGTTCTTACCTTAACTCACTCACTCTATCTTCTCTTTTTCTTTCCTCTAAACCCTACACTTTCAGCGTAACTCCCTCCCTTAGTGCTTTTGTTTTCCCTCCACACACTCCTTTTTTGTAAAGAAAAACACCCCACACATTTTTGCCCAACCAAATATAGGACTTGGATCATGAATAATTTAATATAATTACATGTATTTTTATTAGTTTTAATTAATAAAACTTTTAATCATTAATCAGGTAGCGTTTTATAAATAAATTTATTTTATTTTTAAAAATATAAAATTTTATATTTGATATGAATAATTTAAAATTTCTTAAATAAATAACATTTTAAAATTATTTTAATTAAAGTTTTGAATAAAATATTTATATGAAATGAAAAAATTTAAAATATTATCAAATTAACAAATTTATAATTAAAATATTAATTATATTTTTTAATATTTTTACATTTAAATTTGGTTTTATATTATCTCCTTATTTTATTATTGTTTGTTTAAAATATTTATTATTAACTTGCTATTCTAATTAAAAATTATTTAAATAATTATAATTATATAAATTTCGTACTCATCAACTTAGATAATAGTATCACCTAATAATGATAATAATTGACTAAATTGAATTCTTTATAATAATTTTATATTTTTCAACACACTTCTTAAATAATAAATATCTTATATTTACTAAAATTTAATTTTAATTTTTAAATAAAATTTATCAATTATCACATAAAGTAATATTAAAAAATATATATTGATATTTCAAATATATATATATATATAAACCAAATATGATATAAAAAAAATTAAAAATATGGTACAACATTCCTAAAAGCACACAGTTTTGAAACATTATCAAGAAATAAAATTTCTAAAAAAATTATCTTTCAAATAATATAAAAAAAATATGCACACCAAATGTTTCATAAGATAAATTTTTATGGTATTACTTGTGTCTGTTAAAGATATACTTGTCCACTTTCCTGTTGTTAAAGTCTTTAACCTTATTTCTTCTTATCTTTATGTCTCGTTATGGTACTCCGATGAAATTCAAAGTTCTCTTTTATCAGAGATAAGGGATATATGCAATGGCACTCCGACAATCAAGTATGTATTCGATATAAAGTAATAAATGTTATTTAATATTCTGAAGTCATCACTTTACCTCTCATTTTTACTTTCTTTTTATAAGCATCATATTGGCCCTGTTGGGCTTGGTGAGTTAACCCTGGATTAACTTTCTGATAGTTTGGATAATTAATCCTTTCTTTATTGAATACCTAAACATAATCATAATGTTAATTTATTTTAAGATGACTGAAAAGGTTATTAGCACTTCTCGTCCAAGGGTGAGGCCAAAGGGGTAGTTAATACCCTCTGTCCTAGGATAAGACTGAAAGGGTACTTAGTTCTTTTTAGTTTTGGGAGTGACCAAATAAGGCCTTATTTGGTACACAATAATATCCTTCATTCTAAGGTAAGGTCGAAAGGATATTCGGTTCCCTTTGATTTTGGAAGTGACCAAATAAGGCCTTATCTGGTACACTAATATCCTTCATTTTAGGGTAAGGCCGAAAAGATATTCGGTTCCCTTTGGTTTTGGAGGTGACTGAATAGGGCCTTATCTAGTACACTAATATCCTTCGTCCTATGGTAAGGCCGAAAGGGTATTCGGTTCTTTTTAGTTTTGAGAGTGACCGAATAGGGCCTTATCTGATACACTAATATCCTTCGTCTTAGGATAAAACTAAATTAGAGGTGACCGAATAAGGTCTTATCTGGTACACTAATATCCTTCGTCCTAAGGTAAGGCCGAAAGAATATTTGATTCCTTTTGATTTTGGAGGTGATCGAATAAGGCCTTATATGGTACATTACTTATTAAGATAAGAACATTCACATTCGCAAATATATTATATAAATGTTTTTTCGTTTTAAATTTAATTGTAATTTTAAGATGTAATATTGTACATAAAGTATAATAAAAGGTCAAAAGTGTAATTTATCCCTCTATTCATAATATTTTATTATTTTTTAATTTAATTACAGTAAATTGTACCTTATTTTGCCACATATATGCATTTTTATAATGTTATTTGGCAAAGACAAGAGTGAGGTACTCCACACATGCTTTTTATTCCCATGCGTGTTTTGATTTGCAGTAGAAAGTGCCCAAAGTATGTTTACAAAATAGAAGCTGCTATGCAGTTTTTTTTTTTATAGGCAAAACATATATTATTAAAAAAAGTTCAAAGAGAACTCCAAACCTATATATACAGAGAAAAAACTTAATACTTACTCAAAAAAATAAAAAGCAAAAAGTTACTTATACAGAGCTAAGACGAATGCAATTTCGTGGGTTCAAATACCAATTAGTTAACAAAATAGTTTCTCCCTTACTAACAAGTGATAGTCATTTTCAAGACCTCAGAATAATAGAATTTAGGACTTACCTCTAATCCAAAACACCATTGGAAAACACAATTTTATTTTTATGTAACCACAAAGATCACGCTATACTCACTCAAACAATAATAAATATATCTCTTCTCTTTTACTACAATCAACACCAACTTAAGAAAACAAGTCGATAAATCTGAAGGCAAAACCAGTGAGAATTCAAGCCAATGCACAGTAAAATACCAGATTTGAAATGAAACTGAGCACGTTAAAAACAATTGAGTTGCAAGTTCCTCCAAACCATGACAAAAGCAACAAGTTATATCATCAATTTGAACATCACGATTAATCAGCAAACCTTTACAAAGAAGTGCATTCAACAACAATTGCCAAGTAACTAGTAGACACTTAAGAGGGACTTTCCCTCTCCATAGCCTTTGCAAGACGTCTGTCGTACACTGATCTATATTATTAGGACCACCAAAAAGTTCAAATAGCCATTATTACACAGATTGTACTGAATAATAACCTGAAGAATCTGCCTTCTATACCCATTTATATTCTTGTAGTTCCTTAGTAGAAACTCCATCCACAATTTCTAACAACAGATTAAAACTTGAGATCTCATGTTGAAAGAGTTCTCTTTGCCAACTAACATCCTAAACTAACCTAGTGCCATAAGGAAAACCATTTTTCAATACACAAGATTCAACATTCCTCGCCACAGCAAACAATCGTGGAAATACTTCATACAATCGCACTTCGTTTACCCACTTATCTGTCCAAAAAAGGGTATGCAAACTTGCACCCACACTCTTATCCAACTTCTCATCTAGCAATGAATTCTCTTGATGAATAACCTCCAGCAAATCATACCACTATAAAGAACACTTGTTGTGGACTAATGGACGCTGAATAAAAGAAGCTAATCTGCCATACCTAGCTTCCAACACTCGTACCCACAAAAAACTAGAACAATTAACACCTCGCCATAACCATTTACCAAGAAACGCTCAATTAAACCACTACACATTCCTAATGTCCAAGCCACCATTCTTTCGCAATTTACAAACTATTTTTCATTTCACCTAAGGGATTTTAGATCCATTCTCAACACCCTTTTCATAAAAAATTTCGTTGGATAGTGACAATCTCCTTTATCACTGACTTCAGCGCCTTAAAAAAGGATAACAAGTGCAATAGCGTAGAATTAAGAACGACATTAATCAAAGTCATCTTGCCTCCAATCGATAATGTTAACCTCTTTTTAAAAGCCTTTAACACACTTTTCTATGCACTATGCACTAGGCTTCCTCGGCTTAACGCCTAACTGTAACATGAAATACTTTAATGTGAAACAACCAATCTTATAATGTAAGAACTTCGCAATCAAGTTTAGAAGTTATTATGCAGTATGTCAGAGTTAACATGATTCTTTCTAATATAAACATAAATTTAAACATGCTATGTATTATATAACAAATTTTACTAATAGTATTTTATTGTTATTTTTTTATTTTTATTCAAATGAATGTGCGATTTTAACATTGTTTCAAAACTATTTAAATAGTCATCATCAATTAAGGTAAATTGTCTTATTTTACAATTTCAGACTAATAATATAATACGTTCACATTACATGATATATATACAATATTTTATTATTTTCATTATAATTTTGTCAGACTTTTCTTTATTATAAAGTAAAATCTATAATATTATTCATGATTAAAAGGGTTTAGTTTTCTTGTTATATTTGTAATAGTCAATACCGTTAATTTTATGCTAATAAACAGTAAAATTAGTAATGTAATTAAAAAAGATCTTAATATTTTCTAATCTTTGAAACATAATGAATAAAAACTATTAATCTAAAAAAAATATATAATTCCTTTTTAAATTTGAAGTAACACAACAAACACTATTATTTAAATATTATTTAATTTTATTTTTTACTGTAATTATCTTACCTCAATATGTAATAAATGCAATAAAAAAAACTAATAATTTTGCTCGTTAAAAAAAATCAAGCAGCTAAAATAAGAATATGGGTGAGTAAAACCTTTCTTATTAACGAATAAGATTAGTATATTTTCCATGGAATTATAATAAATTTCATTCTAAATTTTGACATATCCAATATATCATGTCCAGTCTTAAAAAGACAATCTGACATGTTTAATTTAGGAAATCGTGATTGAATTATTAATTTGGAGAATAGAGGAAAATTGTCTTCCATGGTTGAATTCGTACTTAAAGAAATGCAAAACTCACAGGATCGATTTCTTAAAATTTATTATTACTGTTTATTAGGCATTCAGACATAAAGTAGGTAGGAATCTGCACAATAAATAGGTATTTTATCTTAAAATATATTTATATACAATATATAATAAAATTATTTGAAATATTTTATTTTTAAATAATTCATTTTAATTTAATTCTATAACCACAAATAATATGAATCAAAATGATAAAAATTTAATAAAATTACAATAATTTTAAATTGATAAAATTAATATATTAAGTATTATGAATTTTATATAATAAATATATGTATAGAAATTTTAAAATTTTATACAAAATAATAAAAAGAATTTGTATAAATTTAAACATAAAAATTCACAGGAAATTTTAAAGTTTATAATATATATTTTTTATCTAAATCACAGGTATCATTAAACAGCGACAACCTTTTTTACTCAAAAAAGACTATATTTGGCAAAACTCAACCTCCGAATATTTTAAAAGTTTATATAATGTAATAAAATTATTATAATAAGAGAATATAGTTTTACATTTTATTCTTAAATAATTTTAATCTTAAAAAATATACATAGCAAAATAATAAGAAAATAACTCTACTAAATATTTAGATAAAATAGTTTCATTTATTATACATATAGAGGTCGCTTTGTGTTTCAAATGAGAATGACTTATTAAATTTTTAAAGCCTTTCTAAAGCTAAAAATATTTCTTTGTTATTATAGTATTACTTGTTAATATTTATCCATATATCATTACATTACTTGTTTTTGTATTTATTCTAAAAAGAAAACCCTTTTTTGGATACTTTCCTTCATAACAAGATATTATCATTTTTTTAAAGTAAGATTAAATGAAAATTTTGGATTTTAACATCGCAATCCAACTTTTAGGTGAGATCAATCGAAGTTTGAAGGTCGGAGTAATATACTCACATGATATTGCTAACGAGTTCTAAACCCCTTTATCACTGCAACCGATTCATTTATATTTTGTAATGATTTTAGATAGCAGATAGTATATTTGTTAGAAATCGTCACCACAAATAAGAATGTCCAATTGCTTTCGCATTCAAAACTGCAACGCGACCACGACAGTGTTTTCATGTCAGCATCAATATTTCTTTTAAGAATTTTGGTAAAAAAACAAATGAAAACTTCAATCCATTTTAGAGCAGAATCAAAATCCAGATTAGGTGCAGCACAAGCTTGACACTTTGTATTTTGAACTAACTTTGAGGAAGCCATATTCAGATACTTGCACAAATCACATGGAACCACTAATTCTAAGTTTCCTTTTTGAAGATGGTATACAAAAAAATATACAAGACATGGATTCCCTGCAAAACACAAGGTCCCGTCTTTACACACTACCCCTGGCCGAGACAGCTAAACAGCTTTACATACAGGAGATAGAAAGAAGAGAATAAAAATAATAAGTCAACAACTCTATTCAGCACAGGGGGAAGAATTCAAAGAGATACCTGTTTGTCTGGTCATCCTTTCACAGGATCACAAACACGGCCAAATGAATTTCCCTAGAAGTTACGCGCACTCCTGAAAAATCCAATGAAAAATGTTGTGCATGAGTCAACTAGTAAAAATGGAGCTACATTAGCAGAACGGACATGTACATACAACAAGATCATCCCTTGATAAAGGCTCTGTACCGCACAAAAACCAAAAAGAAAAACTGTTTTAAAGATACCATCCTTTCAAATTAGGCTTTAAATCCCCTTCATTTTTAGAATCAAACTATTTCAGTTATCCTAAGGTACAGTATCTGGAACCAGATTAGGCAGGCTAGTTTTGCACAATGTTTATCTACTGCTTATAAAAGCATTGCAAAAAGGTAAGGGCACAGCTTCAGTGATGATAAACATAAGCATGAAAGACTTTTATTTTTTAAAGTTGGTCAAATTGAGATATATATATTTTGACAGTATCCTTTAAAGTGCAAGGTGCACTTAAGTTTGGGCTACCATTGATAAGAAACTCAACAAGTGTTCACAAATTCAGATTTGACAATCAAGTCGCTCGTATTCTTATAAAAATTTAAATAGTTGAATTTTTCATCAATGATGAATGGTGATCCACTCTGTACCTTCAATAACAACCCCATGACCCAAATCCTAGGATGTTGACAGATAAATGTTCAGACATAAATTTTTTCTTTGTCTACTTGAATGTGAAGAATAAAGTAAACAATATCATAATAAAGAAAATAAACAGAAAGAAAATTGACCTGGTAAAAATTGGCTGGGAATTTACAGCTCCCCTAGGAGCACTTGCTCGCCGAGCCCTGCGATCAGGTTCCTTGCTAACCCGCATAGCAGCAACCTCCTTTTCCATGGAAGCTACTTCTCTACGCATTTTTTTGGCCTCAACTTCCATAGCTTTGTTCAACGTATCAACCTTCTTTGCCAACATCTTCAAACATTAAAACAACAAATTGAATTAGAAGAGGAAAAGAAAAATGAAATCTGCTGTCTCATTTAAGAAACCAGATATAAGACCTCTATCGCATCATCCTTGTCTTTAAGAGTCTGATCTTTTTCATGACAAGCTTTCCTCAGGGATATAACCTCTTTTTGCAACATGTCATACAGCATTCCTGAAACACAGTCCTCATTTTCTGCTTTTGGTTTTTCAATTGGAGCACCATTTGCACTCTCATGTGCAGTAATTGTCTCACTAGTGATGGCCTGATCATTGGTGTTGGTTGACATGTTATCTAGTCCATTTGCATTTGAAGTCTGTCTCTCTTTCTCCAGGTTTCTACTACCACCATCAAATGATCTAGATGAAAGTTTGGCATGCTTTAGTAACACATTAGCACTATTTGATCTTAGAGACCCTGATTTTGAAATTGAGTTTTTCCTTGCGAGATATCCATTGGAAGAGGATGCGGAGAAACTCTCAGCTCCACCAAAAGACTGACGCCGTGAAGGCCCACTGACAATGTTTCTTCCATCTGATGCTGTGAATTTGGAATTACCATTAGATGCCTTAATCCTCTCTTCCAAAACTTTGAAGCGTAACTGATATTTTTCCTGTGAAATCAATTAAAATTTTGAGAAGAGGCTTTTCAATAGGAATCAAGAGTTTGGAGTCAGATAAGACATATTATATACCTTCATTTGTGCTTCTGCTTTTGCCGTGCGCTCAACTATAGCCAATTTATCACGTAATTGTTGCATTTCACCCTACAAAATAATGGAATTGAATCAAGTTTTCAATAAAACCTCAACAACTTCTAATTTATGTGCCATCAAATAACTTCATTCTAGCACTCAGAATTCTTGCAAATAATATCAAAAATACCTCTCAGCTTCTCTTATACCTTTTCACTTATGACTTACTACTGGCTTCAAATCATCATTTTGTTTAAAAGCAGGGTAGCATTTTATCATCTTAATTGATGACTTTTTGGGGCAATATATGGTGTATAGCAGAACAATAGAGATAAAATAGTAAAAAGAAGCATGTAAGGGATGTCAGAGGGTAGAGAGCTAAATAAAATCTTTGTTGCTACCCACATCTGAGTTAAACACCTGCCTCACAACATGAGAAATCCAAACTGCCATAGCTACTTTGTTGATCAGCAATTTTATTTCTTTCTTACCATCTCTCCACCAGTCAGTGGTTCTCTTACCTTGGCATCAGATTAAAAACTGCCACAGCTACTTTATTGATCAGCAATTTTATTTCTTTCTTACCATCTCTCTACCAGTCAGTGGTTCTCTTACCTTGGCATCAGATTAACAAACATCCAATCATAATGTAACCAAGAAGACTAGATAGATTAGAACAGTAAAAATGACATATCTTACATATAACACTTTTGCAAACATCGATCAACTGGGGTATTTTGCAAACATCATGTACCAGAAACATCCAAATAACTAGCAAAAGACAAAGCAAAAATAATATCTGAGCCGTTTACATGCCTGAAAAAATTTTCTTTCTTCTAGCCACTGCTTTACGGGCATCACTTTATCATTAGCATCTTTCCACTCATTTGCAACTACAGTCGCAACCCTGTTTGCAGTAACTTTGGCACGAGCTACTTCCCGCTCCAAAACTTTCCTTTCCTCCTGTGTCAACTTTGAAGGTTAGAACTTGTAAGCAGCTAAGAGCATCTACAACAGACTCAAAACAACAAACAGTATATACAAGGAGTATCTATAGAACAGCAATAATTACATTCATCTCTTGCACTTTACGCTGGTAATCACGGACAGCATTAGCAGCAGCCCCACCAGCCAAGACAGCCTCTTCAAGCTCACGAACAGTTTGGGTTAGCTTTTCAACCTCAGCAACCTTTTGCCGAAGCATTTTGTCCAGGATTTTGTTCTCCTCCTGACATAAGAATATAAAATGCTTCGTTAAACTTTGCATTCCACTCATTGAGTATTATAAAATATATGCATTGCTGGAAAGCATAAACACAGATAAAAAGAACTATAGCAAACCTGGCATATTTCAATCTGTTTCATTAACTCTTGATTTTTGTTTTGCAGATCATCAACCAAGGATGCTTTGACCAAAGCAATATGAACAGTTCTCTCAGCCTCAAGAAGTGCAGCCTCCTTAGATTTGGTTAGCCGATCTAGGGCTCTGTTGTCATCTTGCAACTTCGCCACCTAGAAAAGTATAGCAGTAAGGACAAGCACTATAGACCCCTTTGGTCTTGATTCTGAACATGGAATAAGACATGGAACATTGCATAAACTCTCATCCAGTCCCACTGAAAAGCCAATTCAATCCATAACATAACCATCAAAATGTACCTCCATCCTAGCAAGCTTGAGCTCTGCCTCCAGGGGTGCTATAATAGCTTCAATAGGAGGCATTTCATCGTCTTTCTGAGCAGCATGAACTCTTCTAAGTGTGGCTTCAGCAGCAAATTGAGCAGCCAATGCTGCCTTTTTCTCGTCATTGATTTTTTTTATTTCAAGGTTCTGTCAAACACAATACTAGCATTAGGTGACCTTGAAATAAGAGCTATTCAGAAGTAAAATAACTCCAATGAGACAATAGCTACCGTAACTACTAATAATACCTTACTTTCCAGAAGAGCTTCAGCTGCTTTTAGCTTTTCATCCACCTTGTTCAGCTCATCTGTTAGCTGCATGGTTTAAACAAATAAAAAACACAGCTGTGATAACATTCAATTTTGAAATTTATAAATACCAAAATCTTCACCACGTACAGAGTTCATTGTGAAGTCAATGTTTACAATAGTGCATTATCTTGCTTTGTCAAAGATAATAAGGAAAACAGAATGCAGGAGCTCACTGCTTCAATGGAATACTTGGGTATACCACGTGATAACTAGGTTCCTTGTAATGAAAAATACAACTAGAAAAAAATATACCAGTACCCTGGAGCTTGTAACAAAACAGTCAAGCGCAAACAAAAAATGCAGAATAGTCACTCAATTAATAATACAGTTTCCTTATCTATCATTATCATCTCAGTTTATGAAAATTATTATCTATAACATATGTCAAGCTTGAGTAATTTAAATTCATTGCCGCTTCTATGACTTAAAAGTTTGTAGTATATTTACTAGCCAATCATAAGCACTTTTCTCAGCTTATTTCAATAAGGTATTCAGTATTCCTTGTTAGAATATGATTTTATAACTGATTCCAATAAATTTTATGGTCAAATATATAGTTTGAGCCTTCATGTAAGAAGAGCTTATTGAAAAAGCATTTCAAACACACCCTTAGAAATTTTGAGGAGCAGGTAAAAGAAGGGTACCTCTTCAACCCCCTTTTCCTTAAGACGCTCAGAGTTCCTCAAGGACTTAATCTCCGCAAGAGCCTCCCCAAGCTCTCTGTCTTTCTCTGCAAACGAGATACTGGCCAATTCAGTATAAGAAAAAATGAAAAACGTACCGGAAAAAAATCAAAATAAACTACATGCCGTTGTCTATTTAATAAAATTTTACTTAATACTAAAAATAAACACGTTTCCATATATAAACAAAGGTAGTCCGAGTTTAAAATTAACACATTTTTTTAAAAAATTAATAATGAATTATTCTTCTACACGTTTCAAGTCGTATTTGATTTAAAAAGAAAAAGAAAATGGTGAGCGACGAAGTTACCTCGGAGTTCATTTTGGAGGCGCGTGAGCTCGACGCGGACCGGATCGGAGCCATGGAAGAGAGTGATGAAGTCGTCGGAGGGTTTCTTGGGGCGAGTTTTGGTGTGTTTGGCGTCGGAGTCACCGACGCTCCCAATGTGGGTGCTCGCCATCGGAGATCTGTTAATGCTCTCACCTCATACAATACAATAACCCTAAAAACAATTTCAAAATCCAGACCATAGAGAGAGAGAGAGAGAGAGAGAGAGAATGTGTGTGCGCGTGCGTGTGTAACTGTTGTTGTTGTGTTAGTTTGTTGTAGCTGTGGTGTTGAGTGTGAACATTAATATTAAGGAGAAGGCAGTGTTTGGTTTATAAATTAGAGATGATGAGGCAGTGAGTGTGATTATGTTAAAAAGAAAAACAGTTTATTTGATGTGTGTCAGTGTGTTATTTGCCATTCTCAAGTCACTGTGCTGCGAGTGTAAGCACCATGCTAACCAATCTAACTCTCCTCTCTCGTTTTTCTTTTTTAACGATCTTGTTTAAAAGTAAAAAATAATTATTGTATCAAATTTATAAAAATATAATTTTAATAAAAATTTATTATTAATTGTTGCAATTCAATCTTAAAAATTAAATTTAATATCTATTTATTTATTAATGTAATTCAATACAATCAATTAAACTTTAAAAGAGACGATCCCAAAGTAGCTCCGCTTTCTTTCTAAGTTCTAGTTCTAGTGTTATTCTTTCTCTGTTTGACCCACACGAATATGGATTGGTGGGAATCTTTACAAAAAAGTTAATTAATTTTAGAAACTTGTCTCATGATGAGAATATTGTGAATCCGATACCTCTCCCTCCCTCTCTATGTATATATATAATAATTAGAAGAACTTTTCCTCTATTTTGAAAACTAAATAGCATTTTTCTCCTTTTCAAGCACATAACTTCTAAATAAAAAACCGAGTTCCCAACAGACAACTCATTCACACATCATAACACGGCAATGGTTTGCGTCTAGCAGATCTATGAATAAAGCAATTAGCCACAATTTTGATGAACTGTGACAGCAACAAACGAGTGAAGTGTGGCGAGGCAAGAATCTGAGGTTATGGATGGTTTAGGGACACGGGTGATTCTAGTGCTTTATTTAATATCTTTTATCTAAAAAAATATACACACTTGATTTTTGTATTTTTGCATTGAGTAATAAGTAATTTTTCAAATGCTAGCATCCATTTAAAATAAATGAAGCAATTGGCACATGTTAGCTTATTTGGTTTTCTTCTTTGTTAAAAAGACAAATGTGATATTGGACAACTTTTTTATGCATAAATGTAATTTTGTATAAAATTTGTAGAAAGTTACAATTTATATACACACATGAAAGCTAGTTTTTTTTTAAACGTGAATCTATATGAGATTGTGATTTGAGCTTATCTGCTTTTATATATTAAATATAAGTTTATATTTTAAAATTACGATTTTTTATTATGTCATGTAATTTTTTCATATTAAATATTTATTTTTCCAATTTAATTTTAATTTTGAATTTTTATAATTTATTTTAAAATTTAAAAGTACCATCTCTCTAATTTATTCTTGTTGATATAATAAAAATATTTAATTTTCTAAAATTTATTAAATTAAGAATAATCACACAGTATAATATATTTTTAATAAAAATGTATTGATTTAAGAATAATCATAAAAAATATTAATTTATTTAATTATCAAAATAAACAATAACTTAATTAAGCATTTAACAATTAATAAATGGCTCAACTCATTTAGACGTTAGTTGAAAGCTTCTATCAAATTGGTTTAGATGACAAGTACGTTTTTTCTCTTAAATTATTGGAAACTTTTTTTATTTGTTTTTATAATCATAATGCAACATAAATGCTAACAAAAGCAATGTTAGAATTACTTCTATTAAGATATTTTATTAATAAAAATTAAATTATTATTATAAATATAATAATATTTTATATTAAAAACATATTATATCAAGAAATTTGAAAAAAATAAATTCAACGGGTTTGACAGTTGATTGTATCATAATTATAAAACAATGCTAATGATTACTGAAAAGTCAATTTCCTTAGTGGGACGATCATTACAACTGTATTAGTAATGAATCGGTTACACATGGAATTCTATCCTTCCGCATTTATTATGAATAGCAATATTTTCGTGGACTCACCATCATGTTAACAAATTAAATATGCCCAAAAGGGAAAATAAATCATAATTAGGAGTTGAATTCTCACTACACATTCAAAAAGCACGTTCATATTTTCCCTAAATCTTTTGACGGGGAAAAGCATTGAAGTTTTTATTAGATGATGATCAACTTTATAATATTGTTTTTTTAATGTAAAATACTCCCAATAAGTTTAATGATAAACTTTGTTCATACGTAATAATATATTTTATAAATATATGGTTTCTTTGAAAGAAATTATTTTTAATGACATTTTAAATTTGTTAAATAATAATATAAAATTCTTATAACGCGGATGGCATTCAATCATAGAGAAATTAGACGTATGAGTTTGTTAATTAATAGTTAACAATAGTACGTGTTGTTGTCTGTGATTTAGTGCAATCAGTGAGTAGTTAAGAAAAGTTCGCAATCACATTGTACGTAGTTGATGTCGCTCTAGAAATCCTTTCTAATTGGAAATGGGTTTAGATATTAAACATGAAACGACAGGTACGAGTCATAAAATATCCTAAAGATCAAGGATGAAGAGGTGGGACATGTCGCATGTGTCGTTTGAAACCAAGGCCAAGAAAACTCACACGTGTTTGAATGGAAAAAGGATAATCTTACACACGTGCAGGTTTAATCGTTGCTCCATATGATAATTAAAACTGAAAAGGAGGGTGTGGAAGAAAGATGGAAGGGGCAAACGCACATGCGAGAAGAGAAGCCATAACGTGCACACGTGTCGCGTCAGGACAAATTAACAAAACTCGAATCGCATTCCAACCTTACAGCGTGTATTCTTTATGAATAACATTTCAGGTCATAATTATTTTTAGTATTATTTTTAATTCAAATTATAATTTTTTTATTAATATTAGAAGCATTTGAAATAAAATTTTAATTCAAGATGATATTAAAATATCTGTATTACTTTATTTTTTTTCTATTCCAAAAATTATCGTTTGCCAAAAGCCGGACAACTTTTTTTTTTGTCTTAAACTGAAAGTAACATGTTATTAGTTCCAGTTTAAGTTGTTGAATAACTTTATTATATTAAATCTACAATTTTGTCAATATTAAATCTACAATTTTGTTAATATTAAATTTTATAATTAATTTTAAGTATAAAAAGTTAATGGAATTTTATTAAATAATAAAATTTTGTATGTTAACCATATGAAAGAGAAATAAACATTTTTATTTTTAATAAAAAATATTATTTGTAGATATTTAAAATAATTTTTAAGATTAAAAGGATACAATGCAATATAAAATATTTAATAAAATTAGTTATTAAGTAACATGTAAATATAATGCAATATAAACAATATATTTATGTAGTTTTTTATATTTTTTGTAAATTACATATAGAAGTATTTAAATAATTATATTTTTTAAAAGAAATTGTTATTTATTTATGAAAAATTTCAAAATGTTATAAACATAGTTAATTATTAAAAAATAAATCAGACACACGTTTAGGCTAAAATAAAATTTATGTATTAATTAAGAATAAATTTAAAGTTGTAACTAGTAGTATAGTGTTTTAATTAGATAAAAGGAATGAAATAAAGATGAAAAAAAAAGAAAGAGAGAGAGAGAGACAGTAACATATAGAGAAAATTTTCGTTGTCCAGATGAGTCTCGGTCCAAGCAAAAAAGGAAGATAACGAAAAAAAAATCCTACACATTTTAGATAAGTGTAAAAGAAGGTTAAAAAAAATACTTTATAAGAATTAATCTTGAAAAATAATTTAATTCAAAATTTATTTTTATTATAATATTTTTAATCAAAATTTATTTATTTATTTCATATAATTTTTAATTTTTAAAATATCATTTATAATTTGATTAAAAAAAAGAAGAAAAAAACCCAACATCTAGCTCATCAGTTCCTTCCATTTTGAGGAAATTTTTTAGCCTCACTTTAAAAAAAAATTATCTTCCCTCTTTCTTTCTTTCATTCATCCAAAAATCTAAATTTAATTTTTTTCTTTATTCATTTTTTTCACCCTTAGCCAAACACACTATAAGAGTATTGATTAATAAAATAATAAATAAATATTTTATTAAAGTTATACTAAACTTATAATATGATATCATTAAATATATAGATCAACTTACTTGAGTTAAAAATATATAATTAATCACTTTCTTTGATTAAAGGAATTTTTAAAATTGTATATTCTAAAACTTAATTAGCAAATAGCAATTACTTTAAAAGCAATTTTAGCTTATTACATGCTAAAAAATAATTAAGAGACTTTAAATATATTTTCAAAATGTCAGAAATTTTTCCATGTAAACATATTTTTAAAAAAAATACAATTGTGTTAAATATTTAATTTTTTTACTATTTAAAATAATTTTATTTGGACTTAAACAAAAAAATATCTTTTAACAAAAAATACATTTTTTTAAATCACATTAAAATAATTATCTAAAATTACGATAGATACTAGTAAGTCCTTTTAGACATTAAATTAGTATTTGATTAAATTTTAATTAAGTATTTTCTCTAAAAAAAAGGAAAATAAAACTTGCCGAAAATTTCAGTGAAATGTTTTGCACCAAACTAATTTTGATACAATATTAGTACAAAAATTATATTAATAAAAAATAAAAGATTATGAAAATTGAATGAAAGGTTTCCTTAGCGTGAAAGAAATGTGAGGAGCACGCGGGCGTAGACGAGAGTGGAGTGGGGTTGATAGGAAGAAAAGAAAAGAAATGAATAAAAAGTTTGTCTCACCCACCCCTCACACGTGTGTCTGTATCCGTACGGCGTTGATATCACGTCCTAACAAATACGACGACGAAGCCATGTTTCTGCGAAACGATATATACTCGTTAACCACTCTGTCTATCATTCTGTTTTCAAATCGTTATCTGAGCCCTCTCTCAAATCATTTTTTATTTATTGTTAATTTCATTGTCTTAAATCATTTATGACTCATTTTATAAATTACTAATATTTTATTAAACTTTTTTTATTTTTAGTTGTGCAAATATTTTTAATAAAAATGTATTATTTCTCGTTAACTAAAATTAATTTTAAAGATTAGAATTAACGTTTTCTTGTATCTGGTAAAAGAAGATTCTAATTATGTCATATTTTTATTTAAAATAATAGAATATTATCGTCCAAATTTTAGCTCCTTATGTTGTTATTGCTTTAACTTTCGTTAGTTGAAAGTAAAAACAAGGGGAAAAAAAAATAGAGGGTAAGAAAAAAAAAATTATTGGGGAGATAATATAAAAACAAGTGAGACTCGTGACAATTTATTTCTTTTTGGATAAAGAAAATAAGGGAGATGAAAAATTTATTTAAGTGAAAATTTTACTTATTTATTCACCAACTTATCATTAAATTAAAATAATATAAAATCCATTTAATATAATTAAAATTTGTTTTTCATTCTCTTCATCTAAATAATAAAAAATTATATTAATTTTTCTTTATTTACAATTTTTTTCTTTTTTTATTTCATCTAAACAGAATATAAATTTTTATTTATTTTTTCGAAGTATTGAAAACACATTTTTAACACACTCTTCATTAGTAATCAAAATTTATAAAAGTACATGACAAAATTATTAAATTAAAAGTAAGACTCCCATAGTTTTTATAACATTAATAAAATTTAGTCAATAACTATGAGTGTTAAAAAAGTGTATTTTCGTACATCAAGCAGAGTAAATTTAAAATTACACGATTATTCGGGAGGAAAAAGTCAAATAAATGCATATAAAGTTTATATGATCCTTTCTCTCGCTCAATGGTGCATTTATAATTTTTCTGAAAACCATATATATTATGTTTTATTGTCTTATTGCTTTTTATCTGCAAAACAATAGGTAGCTATTTTCAAACTAATCTAGGCCAATCAAACTCTATCAAATTCTTTAACAATGCTCCACTTATTCAAGGTATTTGTGGTTTTTTTTGTACAAGATTACGTTTGAATGTACATATTCATTTTTAAATCTAGCAACATATTCTTGGCCATTCCACTGGTAAAAAGGGACTCAATTTAATGAAACTAAGACACGATATTTCCGGAGAAAATAGTATTAAAAAGAGAATCTTGAGAATATATTTCTAATATTTTTACTATTTTCGTATGAGAATCCAAAGATAGTCTACCATTCAAGCCTCAACTTTAAGACATAATTAGGATTTTACATGGTGAAAACTTTTGTTTAAGAACTAGCAGCTATATAGATAGGTTCAGCAAATTCCTACCAATAACCTCATAAAAGTCACAATAGTCATTGAACAAAGAACAATCCTAGTCTTTTCCAACTCACCTTCATTGACTTCGTTTGAGCATAAACATATGATTAGATAACGTGAATTCAAGCACACTGTGAATTTTGATAAAACTAATTTTAAATCGTTGTGTTTAATTAGGATATGTCAAAATTAATCTTAAATCTTTAATATAAAGCCAAGGGACACTGAACTATTTCTACCTGATCAGCAAATACAAAATGCTTAATCTGAAAATCCATAATACCCTTGCACGTTTTACTTGTGATTATGCCAGTGATTTCTGTTTTTCGTTTAATCAACTACTGATGAAGCTTTAATATCTTCTTTGTGGACTTTATTAGTCTACTTAACTTGAAATTATTTAGCTCAAAAGTAACTTAGAGAAATCCAATTTAAAATCAACTTTTTGATTTGTATGTCATTGTTGAAATATGCTACATCCCTTTCTTATTTTCTAATCTCCTTTTTCTGTTTCCCTTGTAAGACTTGTTATTAACCTCCTTTTAGACCACAAAGTTTAATATAATTTTTCTTATTAACGCTAAGTGTCGTTTCATAGAATGGATGCTTAAAATACACCACAATGCATATATTGATTATCAGAATCTAAAGAATTCGCGATTGGAATTGCATGATTTAATCGGATGCTTATGTGATGTTGAAGCATCAGATCAGGAACAGCTTATACCTTGGCTAAAGTTGTATTGTTTGGTGATCAACAGATATATGCTAAGATGCTATGCTATAAAGCTAGTCAAAGGGGAATTTGAAGGGTCAAAATCGTAAAAACCAGCACTAGAGTCCTGAATATGATGATTTACATTATATTATACTTCACACATGATAACCTATAATTTTACTAGCAAAATCTAAATGAGCAATAATTCACTTAAATATAGTTTAAAATTGTTTTAAAAAATATATAAGAACGTGAATAAAAATAAGACAATTATATTGAAATGAAATTACTTTATGATGATAAAACTTATATTTATTTCTAATTATTTAGTAAAGTAAGAAGCCCATAATAATTTTATCTAGATATATATAGTAGAAAGACTAATGAGAATAATGTCCAGCAGTTTTCATCCATCACTATAGTTAAAACCCCAATGTGAGACAACTTGTACTAATTATATATCTGTACATGCAAGCAAATTCTGATTACATCATTGTCTTATAGATGTTCTAGGCTCCAAATTGCCTCTCCAAAAGAGCCTATCACTTTTGTTCTTATTAAAATATTGCATCGACTGTAAATATAGCCAAAGTAAAACTTATAAAGGCTGTAACTATCCAAAATGCCTCACCTTATGAGTAAAGGTTTGAAATTGAGTTAAAGCCCAAGTCCAAACACCTCGATAAACCACACATGCGCATAAGAAACAAATTGAGTTACTAGTTAGTGATGTCTTTCTAAAATAGTAAGAGAAATCATATATGTACATACATACACCAGAAACACAGGTCCATGGAAGCATATGTGCAACCACAATCCATTAAGCAGGAAGCGAAACTAAAGAGAGGAAAATCTCCCTCAAATAAAAGCTGATTTGTGAAATACAATGAAAAGCTGTAACCTAAAATACAGACACTATTCTACATTTTACCCTTCAACTTCTATCTATCATACACCTATATAATCAAATTATTGAGACTATTTTGAAAGCACAGAAAAGCTTAAAGAAAAATGTACCACACCAGCAGCAGGAAGAGAAATTACATGTGGAGAGTAGAAAAATCACAGCATCTAATGTTTATAGCACCACCACAACTAGGCTTCAAGAGAAATCCATTGTTAAAAGACACCAGCTTCCATTGAACTAATTTAGAGCACAAGATTCAATGCTCATGTTCAGAATATGTGATCAGTTTTTAAGGGGGTTTGGTCAGGCTTGAAAGAACTTCATAAATGGAGCTTTGAAATACTTCACTCCCTTGGCCGGGCAAGCCATAGAGCACTCAGGGCTTGCAGCCGGGAAAAATAATCGCTTATTGCAAGAAGAGCTCGAGCTGATTGTCTGGTGGTTAATATCCTAAGCATTTGTTGTAATGTTTGCTGCCGCAGATTATCAGCCTAGTAACATGGAAAAAAAGAACCGATGACTATTGCACTTATCTTTTATGAGTGAATCTATCATTTCTTCATTACATCTGGAATAGTTTAAGTCCAGTTTTTTGTGCATGCATATCATTAATTACTAAAACGCTCTCATTTAAAGCCACCCAAGGCATGCAAATATGCAATGAACCATATATTTTCCATCATTCTATTTATTCAAGTAGTATTATTCCTTAAGAGTTTGTCAATTAGAGGTGTTTGACATAGCTTGTATGTGGCATGACAACCACCTCCACAATCCACTCGAGTCATAAGCAAATCAATCATTATATTCCATTTATTTCATAGCCTTAGTCAGTCCAAAATAAATAGATGGTTTTTTGTTCGAAGCTTAAAATATTCTTTCTTCGCTGGAAAGATAGTGATATAGAAAAACAAAAAATATTGTCCACGTAATATTTAATACTAAATACCTGACTTCTCTTTATTTAAAGATGTAAGTCGAGAAAATGGATATAGACTGGAAAACAAAAGCAAACAGTTAATTACCTGGTGAAGAAACCCCTCAAGAGTACCAAGCTTTCCCATGGCCATAGCCATTTGCCCCATGTAATTAGCCACATTTCCTGAGGAGCCTGAAGAGCTAGGCGAACCATTAGCCAATGTCTCAGATAGTGATTGCTGCAATGCATCCATTCCTTGGGAAAGAGCGTCTTCAGCCTGCTGGGATGACTGCTGCAAGTTGTAGATGCCCATCAATTGTTGCTCAGTTAAAGGCTCCAACTGACTGACAAGAAGCTGCAACAATGTCAAGCCAGTTTTAGACAGGCATAACATGACATAAGGAAATAGACTTCAAAATTCAACTCCAGAAAAAATCATTCTTGTCATGATAAACATGTTAAAATTGATATTTCTTCAACAATTGGAAAGTCCCTCCACATTATCTTGAATCTAAGTTTCAATCACTTCAAGAACACAGGTCCTATCTATTTTGATTATTTTGGTGCTTTAACTTTATATTTTATACTGGTTGGGAGCAGGGAATGTGATGGATGTTCAACCCCATATTGGAAAAGCAATTTCAATACAAAATAGTAAGATTGGGAAAAACAAAGTTAAAATAATTTCCACTTATCTAATTGAATGATTATGAGCTTACAAATTTAAAGAATACACAAAATTCCCTGATGGTTAATCTTTCATTAGACTAGTTGCTTGGATTAATTTATTTACCCATGAAAAAGAGCAATAAGCACAACAGAGCAAAGATAGATTTATTATACTTGTTTTCCTACCCAGATCTAAATAAGCTCTTCAGCAAGGAAAATTTATCATCATAAACTACCTGCCACCTTCAGCCCAACATCTTCAAGCACTTAAACACAGCTCATAAAACAAATGCACATAGAATGTTTCCTGTCAACCCCACAAATTTGGAAAATTCTTATATGCACTCGTAGAATTACAAGAACCACACCAGAAAAATTCAATTAGAGCCACATTTACACGGATTAAATACAGCGGAAATGAATCACAAATTAAACTGTAAGAAAACTGATTCCTATGATTGACCATTCCAGAAACCTTTATAAGGATAATTAGTAATTTCACAATAACAAAAGATAAAGGAGACTATTCTAAAAAATATTGAAATGAAACAGCCATGCGCATATATAAAGGGCTGAACACGTGCATTGAAATATTTTCAAGAAATCGTAATAAATGTATTACCTCACTGGTACTTCAGCGTATCATTTACCAGAATAAAGTATGACAATACAGAGCATAGATAATTGAGGAATTTCTCACCTTGAGAAGTTCGGATGACCGAAAGCCTCCAATCCACATGAAACACCTCTCAGCTGGAGTCTTCCACATTCCTGAAAGAATGTGGAAAACATCAGCTTTTGCTGCAATACCTTTCAGCCTGAAGATATCTTCAAATTGTGTCATGAAATTGTCAACAATGGTACGGAGTTCAATATCTCCAGCATGAGAATTTATTGCAGCCCTTAGCTCATTGGTTTGTTTATTATGCTCTTCCAACCATCGAGCGTATTCTACATCAAAAGCCATAGCACCTGTATAACAAGATGATTAAATTGATTAAGTATTTAAAACACAGCACAAACTTCTGTAAAACCCAGCCAATGACCATCCAATATCCATGCTACTGAATAAACTGTGGTCAGTGCAAAACACATCATAGGCTTGTACTTTCCATACACATGATGCAGTCCCATCACATCATAGTATTTCAGTGCAAATGCATCTAAACAACTAAATGTTTGCCAATGGAAAATAGAAACCAATGTAAATGTAATCCAACTAAAAGAGGATTCTATATATTAACACAAAATATTGGTTTGTGCCATGATAAAAATATACATCACAGAAAACTATATGGAGCATTTATTAGAGACAGACTAATAGTAGGGGTATGCACATTAGACCTAAAAAAAAAAGGCTCATTGCACTGAAAAAAATGCCACCGGTAGCAGTTAGAGTACTGGACATGATATTTAGAAAAAAAGCAATACATGGGTTTATTGAACTGGATATAAATAAAATCATCAATCAAGGAACATATGGCCAAATTTAACCCATAAATCATTGAGTCCACTATAAAGCCCATGTATTTAGTACAACACGAGTACGATATGATACAGATACAGGGAATTTCTTATAATTCAAGATATGATATAGCCTAGATATGTTATCATGAATTCAAGTTTTCATTAGGTTGCAGTAAAATGTAGAGGTAAAACAAGCTTCAATAAAATACCACAATTGCTGTAAAATACCCAAATAAAAGAGGAATATGATTCCTCAATGGTGGGAAGATTGAGAAGTCCAAAACAGAAGCACTTGAAAGTCAGAACAAAACTAAGATACAAGGCTTATGTAGTTATGCATGTCTTGCTGTGTAAACTACAAGCAAAACAGGACTGATGCTGCAACTTGTCAACCACCACCACTAGAGTAGAAACGTGACTTTACAATATACAAAAAGCAGCAAGTGATTTTGCAAGAAAGATCAAACAATGATCTGCCACCATTACACTAGAAACACACAAATTTTGCAAGACCCAGAAGCACTGTTGTGGGCAAGCAGAGGAGTTTGATTTTACGGGACCCAGAAGAATCATAATCCCTCCCTAATTGTGGAAGATGATATCCATGTTGTCTACAAACCCTAGCTATAGGTGATGAGACCCATGATGTTCAAAACAACACTTAAATCTTGAAACTGGCAAATGTTGGAAGTTTGAGACACTTTCAATATCAAATAAGCTGAGTGTATCGTATCTCCTAGTTCAAGACGTATCTAAATGTTTTAAGCCATATCTCAGATGTATTAGGGCACCAAAATATTTTTAAAAATAAAAAAATGGAATACTTTTTGGATACATATAGTGTGTTATTTTTGGGAGTCAAATACGTGTCTGACACCAATACTTTGGCAAGTTTGGAGTATTTCCGAGTCTACAATCCAAAGCTTATTTCCAGTGTATAGAATGTCAGAGGAAATTTCAGACAGATTTAGAAACCCAGTTTAAGATAAAATCAGCCATAAATATCTTGGCTTGTGTAGAAATTCCATGTTGGGTAGAGGCAAGCAACTTGATAGCATTGCCTCATCTGCTGTTGACCAATGCAAAAATTTTACCAATACACTAAATTCAAGATGATCTTTATTAAATGTCAAGCCAAGTGTTAATGGTTTTTGCATTGACTATGACTTTATAATCAGACTCGGAACATCACCAAAAACTTCTCAAAGTAGGAGGGATTTATATGCAATAAAAACTTGTCAAGCTTGCAGCATACAATTGAAGGTTCAAGATGTTTAAATACCATTTCCACTCATTGAATGGGCCTGATCTCCTGAGCTTGAAATAAATATTCCCTAGAAATGATAAAAAAAATCAAATTGTAACACATTATGTAGTAACATAACCAGTGTAATGAGAGTTGACTAAAGAAAAAGTTGACAATTTTAAACGGAAACAATAAATGAAATAGTACAATCAAACCTGCTGGCGAGCTCGCTGGAGCTCTTGCTCAAGTTGGGTGAGTTTCAGCCTACTACTCTCTAATTGTTGCACATATGCCTGAATGAATAGAAAGGAGTTAAAAAGAAGAAATTAATAGGTTAGGATCCAATTGCAAGGTCCCATATTGGAAGTATGGGATGCTAATGTGGAGTTTATAAGGCCTTGGGCTCTCAAACTACAATAGTTAGCTTTTGTGGTGTGGAGGTTCTTATCATATGCAATATAATAAATAAAACATTCAACAACAAACCAAGTAGCAAAAGAAGAAGTAATTTTACAAGTTCATTTATCATTATTATAAGAAAAATATTCACACGTGTCCTTAGAACTGAGTTTAAGGAACTAATAATAGTAAGTTTTTATTGAGAAAAAAAATATTTATCACACTTTCATAACTTCAATGCAATAAATGTATTCTTTTCCAATAAAAATATACTACTGTTAGATGCTTAAACTCAAACCTAAAGGTTGAAGTTACCAATGATTAGAATAAGCCCTACCTTTTTCCTCAATCGACTTTTTCTGGCAGCCTCACGATTTTGAGCTAGTCGTCTTAATGTCTGAACAAAAAAATTAATAAAGTTAACACATTATAGCAAAAAGCTAATGCTATGTTAACACAATTACTGCATACAACCTTTTGATCTGACTTATCTTTTGATCTTTCACTAGATTCACCCCTTTCAACCTGCCAAACAACAATGAATCATCATATTTTAGAGTATGAATATGCATGCTTTTGTATATTTGATAATATTTAACATTTAGAAGGAAAAAGTATCCTTAATGTAACATTGTAACTCTAGGGGACATAACCAAAAGCTATTCAATGGATAAATAAGTTGAATTCCAGATGCAGAAAAACTGTATTACGGAAGTAAAATAATTACTATTTGATTTTTATCATCTGTGTCATCAGTTGAAGTATCAGTTCTGGGGCTAGCATCAGCCATGTTGGACTCTCCCCAGTTTTCACGGTGACCAGCAGATGTCAAAGCCAGAGTTGGTTGTGAGTCTTTTTGCAATGGCAATGCCTGAGATCCAGTAATTGAAGCAGAGAGATTTATATCTGAGGTTGCGATTGACTGTATCTTGCATGTAAGAGGAAAGTGTGAACATGGGACTTCATTATATTTGTGATTTGTTGATTCTGGGAAGCACATAATCTTATAAAGAAGATAAGAAATTACCTTATTTAAAGCACCAAATTGAATATCAGCTCCTAGAGCTTGGCTATTTGATTTCATCTGATTAAACACTGGATCTGAAAGATAATGTAAAAATAAAAGGGTGAAAAGAGGTTTGATAAGGTGCCAACAAGAGGGGGATGACAAATAACACTATATCTTTCAATTACTTTTGAAGGATCATACTTGAGGAAACACAATTCTTTTGTAAAATGTGGAAAACAAATATTTTAAGGCAGAAATAAGATGAAGGCTCATGTTAATAACAGCTTAGGAACAAGTGAAAAACCATTGGAGAAAATATGATTCATTTGATTGCCAATATAAATTATACACCATCATTGGGCACAGAATTGTAGTAAAAAAATACGATGAATTCATAAGTTGTGCTTACACAAACAAGTTCTACCAGAAAAATCAACATAATGAATATTTTCTCCATTAGGTACAAACAAAATGATAGGCTTATTTTAAAGCATTATACCAGCAGCTTATGGAAACAACACGAAAGAATATCATTGCAATACTCAGTTGGCATACAACAATCTAATTTGGAAGTGACAGAAGCCTAACAAAAGTATACTAAGTACTGACTGATCGAGTGCACACACATCTTTCATAGAAATAAAGACTAGTACCCATGAGGTGGAAATAGAATTGACGGCCTATGTTAGGAGCAAATTACAAACAAGCCTATGACTCTTTTTAAGTACACAAAATTGGCCACCACAACAATACAAGCAATGGAAGTATAAGTCAAGATATTATTATATTCATAAAACAGCAGTTCACACCAAAATTAAACACCACAAAAAAACAGAGTTCAACTGTTAGAGATCAAATCATGAGCAACATACTTCTGCTAAGATTGATGGTATCCTCAACACGAAATCCAAGAGATTGTTCAAGGGTTCCAAATTCGGAAATTCGTGAAGGATGAACATTAGTTGCTTCTATTCCCCTGAAAACAAAAATCATGAGTTCATGACAACTTGTAAACAATCCTTGTTGAATGTATATCCAATTAATTATACAGGCAAGGTTAAGAAAGTCATTCAGTTACTGATGAACTCGAAACATCAAGCCAAAGAAAAGTCCAACTTGGATGCTCAAGATGTAACAACAAATCCACGAGAAAATTTAAACATGAAAAGTCATAGTAAACCTTTGACTTTGAGCAAAGCTCACATATGAAGATTAAAAAGGAAAAAAAAAGCCTTAAAGGTTATTTGTATCCCTTCCTCTGCAATCTAGCAATCAATATGGCCTCATTTTAACAGCATATTTGTCTAACAACATGAATAACTTCAATTAGTTATATAGAAGTTATATTAGACTAGCATATTGACTATACAAACTATGTACTCAAATGAGAATTTTAAAAATAAAAATAAGCATCATCGCAGAAACCTATTATCAGTCAAATCATGAGTAAAATAAACACCAAATATAAGGGTAGGTCCTCAGAAAAATTTACATGGAACTAGAAGGAGAAGGCAATGGAGGAGCGTAGCTTGGCATCCCGTTCGCAACGTTGTTAGTGTCCTTAGTGTTAACGTTTACCGCTCTACTTCTGCTACCCATCAATAACCATGCTCAGCACAAAGACCATCTTATCTCTCCACAATCCTTAACACAGAAAGGCCCTGAACCCATTTCACAAAGCACCCCACAATTTTAGTCAAACAAATCTTAAAAAAACACTCCAGCAAACAAAATCTTCAACGAGAAACCACAATTTAACAAGCTACTAAGAAGGTAAAATTCTAGACAAACTAACTGAAAAACAAGAATCTAGAAAAAGCAGTCACATACTCCTTGCCAAAACATTGACACCAAAATAAGTTTGGGAGAAATGGTAAATAAAAACATATATTAAAAAAAACTGTAAGATAGCATCACTCTCCGTACACCCGCTTGAAACAAGGACAAAATTTTGAAACTGAAAAAAAAAACTTTGCGGCATCAAAACATCCCATAGAAAAAATCTAATTTTGTTTGAAAACAAAAATAAAAGACCCACCTTCTAAAAACAAAGCTCAACAACATGAACTTCAAAAAGAGAAGAACTCCAAATTTGATATGAAAAGGGTCAAAATAAAAAAAGTGATATTGAACAAACTAGGCTCATAAAAATCGAAAAAAACCGAACTTTCCAGAGATTTAAGCAATACCCAGAAGAAGAAACCGATGGAATAATAGCCCTGCAAACCCTAACCAGTGACAAGTTGACGATAAATACCGAGACTTTTTGACTTTTTTGATTGAAGGGAATGCCACTTTAATATATTTTATTATTATAATATAATGATGTTACACAGTACAATTTCATCTCTAACCCTGGAAAAAAATTATATGCTTTTTTAATTATTTATTCGGTGATTGTTGCTTATGATTGAAAACAATTTTAATGTTTTTATTACCACACCACATATTCAAAGAGGAGCATCATGTGTCATCAAGTTGATCTTTTTGGTGTAATTATATACATATATTTTATGAAGGGTGGAAAGAAAGAGAGAGAGTGGCAGAAGCGTGACGTTCAGACCATTCCAATTTTTTGCATACGTCCCTTTCGTCTGAAACTCTTCCATTTTCAAAAAATTATAAAAACTTGCCTTTTTAAATTCTTCAAATTTCAGTTAACTTTACCGCTTTTTGTTTTTTGTTTCCATCTTTCTTTACCCTTCGTTTGGGTTTAGATCACAACGCACTACTCACTTCTATCTATCATCTCGTTCGTTCTTTTTTCTTTAAATTATTATTTAATTAATTCCACACCTACCCTATCATATTGTGATTTGGTTCAAGTGATGCATAATTAATTATGTTTAATAAGGTTTTAAATTTAAATTCTGTGTATATAAAATTAAATTGAGGAAGTTAATTTTATTATGGTATAGATAGATATTTTTAATTTCAGTAAAATTATCTTTTATAGAAAATATTTATTCTCTAGAAAAAAATGATTAAAAAACTCTTAGGTACAATTAAAGAGAAAAGGACAAGATATTTCTTGCTATCACGTAAAAAACCTGTTCATATGAATATCAAGCAATTTAAGACTTAAGTGACGCATAAAAACTATCAAAATTTCTCATTAGGAAATATTTTTAGTACTCTTTCTAAAATATACCTTGTTTTAAAAATACTTAATTGTATTTTTTTTATCCTTTAATTTGAATTTATATAATTCTAGTCTCTGAATTTTTTTACAACAATAAATTTTTTCAATTTTTTAAGTAAGAAAATTTTCTTTTCTATCAATTTTCATGCCTCAAATTTTTATTTTTTTTATTCAAGATTTTTGCATGTTAAATTGATTAAACCATTTTTTGTCAAAACTCACCAATCAATCCTCAATTTTCTTTCAAAATAAAAAATATTTTTTTAATCCTAATCTCACATCTCATAAAATCCTTCGCACTTTATCAAGATTTTACTAAATTTCTTACAACTAAACTTTTATATTTATTTTATATCCTAAATGTATTACAAACCTTACAAATGTTCGGATAAAAAATAACAATTTGGGAACTTTAAATAAAAAAATTAACAAAGCAAATGTATTTAATTTTAAAATAGAGAAACCTAGTTAGTTTTAAAAATTTAAAAAGCCAAAATTATATGTAGTCAAAACAAGATGAGTCAAGAGTGTAATTAAAACTTCATAATGCTCGTTTTTATATAGTTATTTTTAAAATTTATTTTTTTAATTAATTAACTCTTTATTTTAGTTTTTTATATTATTCTAACAAAAAAATATACAAGATTTAAAAATAATTGCTATATTAAAAAATTAAGAGAATAAATCGATCTAGTGTCACTCTAATGTGCCTAAAGTAATGAGTCCATTATAGTTAATAGGTAAGATTGTTATTGTGTTAATGAGTATAAGGTTATAGATGACAACTACTATATAAGAGGAAACCTGTCTAAAACTCCACTTAATAGATATTCGTAAGGGTACGGGGCAACTACTATATCCATGATTTGCCTATTTTATTGAAATCTTAGATTCTCAACTCACTTTTTAATACATTTTTTTCTATTACACTTTTTTACTAATTGAAATTTATTAAAAATTATAAAATCATGAGTGAGACTAGTTAAATTAAAAATGCAGTTTACATAATTTTATGATGCTCAATAAATTTCAACCAATAATAAAAGAAAAGTAATAAAGAGTATGTTACTAACATTTACTTTTAGTATATACTAATTAAAAGTATCTTTTAGCTAATTTTCATAAATAATTGTTTTTAAAAATATAAAAATACCAAATTAAACATTGTTTCTCTCATTAAATTAAGTATATACATAATTCCTTTTAAAGCAAAAAGATAACAGAAATTGTAATGTATAAGAAATGGTAAATAGTGTAACATATATAAAATTAGAGAGAAACCAATGAAAATCAGAAGGCAAAAGACCAAAACATTTAAAGGTACGAGTAGGATATCACACAGGTAAAAGTTGACGTTTAACATATAATGTTGACAAATTTAGAATACATTTAGATAAACAATTTAATTGATTATTTACTTAATCAACTGTTATCACGTGACTTTTTATTAGACATTTAACCTTAAAGTTTATTAAAATAAATAAAAATTTTAATAAAATTGTGCAGACAAATTATTAAATTAAGTTAAAAACAACTAATAAAAACCAGAAATTATTTTTATAAAATAAAATGCATATCAAACTAATTTAAATAACTTCAAATCATGGGCTAAAGAATACGTATTCTGCACCCCATCTTAGAATGAACAATACTATATTTTAAAAGAGAAACAAAATGCAAGACATGAAATTTACAAGTCAACAACATTTTGTAGGTCCTGTTGATTTTGGTTTCAATATTTAAACGATAAACGAGATTTCCTTCGAGAAATTATTTGTAAAATAAAAAACAAGTGATTACTTTTTGTTAATTTAATTTAAATTATATGAAGGTGTTAACCAATTAAATTTTAAGAAACTGGTTTTAAAGGAAGGTTTTTCCTAATCGATACTCACCTGAAATATATAAATCGCAAAACTTTTCAGCTATGGTAATAAGTAGATAATTTTAAGCTTAAGATGAAGAATATTACCCAACTAAATCAGAATAAAACTCTAAAGTGGCAATAACACGTGAGTTATTATTTGATTAAAAAAAAACATTACGACTAATTTAGTATATGTTTCATGCACTAACAAATTTTGTTGGATGCATGATGGATTCATTTGGCTTATTCATTTGGCGTATTAATCATTCGTCACTACCCTTTGTCACGACAGCTAAGAGCAATGATTTGCTTTAGCAAATGAAAAAAGGGTCCGCTAAGGTTTCATTATGTTTTTAAATCTATGAATTAGTAGCATGATCTATAATATTATATCTTAAATATTAATTGATGTGATTTACTTATGAAAGTTTCTATGAGTAATAACAACGTCAAACTTTGAGATGAAGTGGGAACACGAGGAAGGAATCCTTGTATATATGCAAACTTGACTCAATAGTGGGAATTGAAGCAATAGAATTCAATCAAAACTCAAAAGTAGTTTTCCTTTCTCGTATTTGAATTTTGTTTTGGTGAAATGGATGAGACCTAACACAAAAGGAGAATGGTGCGCAATGATTCGGCTGCCTCGTGTGAACGGTGAAGGTGCTCAATAATAATATGGTATATGGTCCCTCACATACTATACACCCTTCCATGCACGTTAAATCACAACATGCCCAATGCCCACTAATTGCAATCAATTTAGCTTTTCTTAAGTAAAAAAATAGATAGTCTTATAAATGCAATCAACACTTTATTCATTCAGTCGAGTCATACGGTAACCTCAAAAGACATTTATTACAAGTTTTTACTTTTACATCAACGCTGAGAATTTAGTTTAAATTCACGTTTTATGTAAAATATAAATATAATCTTTATTAAAATTTGAATTTTATCTAAATTAAGTCTATTATTTTATTTTCTGATTGTGCATATAGTAAGAAATGAGGGCATAGAGTGGCACTTTGGTAGTTTAGATGAAAAAGAGGGGCCTTATGGATTGTCATTGGAAACGGGGAAGTGGAAATGAATATGATGCAGTCTTCATTTCACAGCTGCGCCGCCTGCTTGGAAGAAAGTGAACACAAGTTTCGTTGGGCGTGTGAAATGACAAGAGTACCCTTTAGTGAAAAAGTCAAAGAGGTAACTTGGACTCAAAGAAATGGAATTAATTCACTTCCACTCCACTGGTGACTGAAATTGTGATTGGCTCTATCAATTATTGATTGCGTTATTACTTTGTCTCCAATGAGTCAATAAAGTGTGCTCTCTTTTTTAGGGTCACAACCCTAATATTGGAGGACAATCACAGCAAGTCACATGCTTAAGATCATTAATAATTATTTGGGTCGTTCAGAAGATAACCACTCATTAGCAAATCCTTCAAATACAAAAGTAAAATCAGTTTCATTTTAATGCATGTTACGTTAATAATTCTCCAATATACAAAGGTTATATTGATAATTCTCATTGATAATCTACAAGTAGTTCAAAATTTAACATCTTCTTTTTAATGTTTTCTTATTTTTATTATGTATCGTTAGATGCATATTTCAAATTTATCTTTTTAGTCAATTCATAATTTTAAAGAATAATTCTACTTTTTTATACTCAGTTTCTTTAATAAATTAGTGAATGTTTTGGGATTTTAATATTAAATTTATTTTTAATTATTTATTCTAATGAAATTTATTAAGTAAGGGCACACCCTCAAATTTTGAAATTGCACGGAAATAAAAACTAGTAATCATTGCAAAAAAAATTATCCACAATACTAATCATTAGTATTTGATCACATTGGTCTTGTTATCATAACAGTGGTTTATGCCTCTACTTTGATAAACATAGCAAATTAATTTTTTTCAAAATTCTAATTTTGTTTTACACGGAGCTTCCATGTTATTCTGAGGCCAAATATGGAGATGGTAGTTTGAAAAAATGGCAAAATATATAACGTATAAGAAAAAAATAAATAAATTTAATCATAATTTTTATTTCTATATTTTAATTTATATGTGATTTTAATTATTTTATTTTTAATTGTTTATATTCAATTTTTTAGTTATTTAAATTAAAGTTTCATTCTAAAATTTTACAAATAAATAAAAATATATAAATTATTTAAATAAAAATACCAAATAAAATACTATAAAATCCTTTTCTTTTTTTTATTTGGTTATTTTATATATTTTTCATAAATTTATATGAATAAATAATATTTACATATTTATTATATTTTATTAAACCTTAAATAAAATTTGAAGTAAAAGACGTTGGTGGGGTTTGAATTAAATTTTGAATAAGTATTTATAGAAGTAAAAGATAAATCAAATTTTA